GTACAAATACATTTAGTTTACAAACATATAACAACACTATAACGGTGTCATAGTAAAGATATCCAGTTGGGTCGGCCTGGTCTGGTTCGGTTCCGATTGGACTGGTAGACTTATTTAGAGATGACTTACTCATTTTCAACGATGATCACAAGATACTCAGCAAGGAAGCTGAACAATCCTGAAATTTCAAAAAATTAACGAATGTGATGAGAGTTTTCAAATTACGATGAAATGATCAAAAATGATGAAAAAAGTAAAAAATATGAAAAATCTTGAAATTTCGTCAAATTTACGAAAAATGTGAAAAATCATGAAATATCGACAAAATGATGAAAAATGATGAAAACTGAAAAATCTAGAAATTTTGACGAAATGATGAAAAAGGATGAAAAAAGAGAAAAAAGTGAAAAATTTTGAAATTTCGTCAAATTTACGAAAAATGTACAAAATCATGAAATTTCGACAAAATGATGAAAAAAGTGAAAAATGTTAAAAATCTTGAAATTTTATCAAATTTACGAAAAATGTGAAAAATCATGAAATTTCGACAAAATAATGAAAAATGATGAAAAATGTGAAAAATAATGAAATTTCGACAAAATGATGAATAAAGTGAAAAAATCTTGAAATTTCGACAAAATGATGAAAAATGTGAAAAATCTTGAAATTTCGACGAAATGATGAAAAATGATGAAGAAAGTGAAAAATGTGAAAATTTTGAAATTTCGTCAAATTTACGAAAAATGTACAAAATCATGACATTTCGACAAAATGATGAAAAATGTGAAAAAAGGGAAAAATCTTGAAATTTCCACCAAATTACGAAAAAAGTGAAAAATCTTGGAAATTCGACGAAATGATAAGTAATGATGGAAAAATTAAAAAATCTTGAAATTTCGTCAAATTTACGAAAAATGTACAAAATCATGAAATTTCGACAAAATGATGAAAAAGTGAAAAATCTTGAAATTTCGACAAAATGTTGAAAAATGTGAAAAATGTGAAAAAATCTTGAAATTTCGTTAAATTTATGAAAAATGTGAAAAATCATGAAATTTCGACAAAATAATAAAAAAAGTGAAAAATGTTAAAAATCTTGAAATTTTATCAAATTTACGAAAAATGTGAAAAATCATGAAATTTCGTCAAATTTACGAAAAATGTACAAAATCATGAAATTTCGACAAAATGATGAATAAAGTGAAAAAATCTTGAAATTTCGACAAAATGATGAAAAATGTGAAAAATCTTGAAATTTCGACGAAATGATGAAAAATGATGAAGAAAGTGAAAAATGTGAAAAATTTTGAAATTTCGTCAAATTTACGAAAAATGTACAAAATCATGACATTTCGACAAAATGATGAAAAATGTGAAAAAAGGGAAAAATCTTGAAATTTCCACCAAATTACGAAAAAAGTGAAAAATCTTGGAAATTCGACGAAATGATGAGTAATGATGGAAAAATTAAAAAATCTTGAAAATTCGACAAAAAATGCGGCAATGCCCTGCGACTTTGACATTTTTTGAAACTCACACAAGCAATGCGAATGGACTTTAACATACATTTTTCGTAATTTTGTCGAAATTTCAAAATTTTTCACATTTTTTGTAAATTTGACGAATTTCAAGATTTTTCCCTTTTTTCACATTTTTCATCATTTTGTCGAAATTTCAAGATTTTTCACATTTTTCGTAATTTTGTCGAAATTTCATGATTTTTCACTATTTTCATTATTTTGTCGAAATTTCATGATTTTTCACATTTTTCGTAAATTTGTCAAAATTTCAAGATTTTTCCCTTTTTTCATATTTTTCATCATTTTTTCGAAATTACCAGATTTTTCACATTTTTCATCATTATTCATCATTTCGTCGAAGTTTCAAGATTTTTCACTTTTTTCGTAAATTATTGGATGTCATGATTTTTCGCTTCTTAGGTCGTTTTGTCCAAATGCCATTATTGCTAATATATTTTTTTGAACCTTACTAAAAAAAGTGAAAAATCTTGAAATTTCGTCAATATTACGAAAAATGTGAAAATTCTCAATTGAAATTTCGAGAAAATGATGAAAAAAGTGAAAAATGCGAAAAATCTAGAAATTTTGACGAAATGATGAAAAAAGTAAAAAAAGGGAAAAATCTGGTAATTTCGGAAAAATGATGAGAAATGTGAAAATTTTGAGAAATCTTGAAATTTCGACAAAATGATGAAAAATAATGAAAAGAGAAAAAAGTGAAAAATCTTGAAATTTCATCAAATTTACGAAAAATATGAAAAATCGGGATATTACGACAAAATAATGAAAAAACTAAAAAATGTGAAATGTCCGCGAAAAAGTTCATGAAAAGCTAAGCAAAAGAGCTCTAGAACACAACATGAATTCCGAACACAAACCATACAAAATAAACGACATTGTGTTACTAAAAAGTCACAATGCTACAGATAAATCCGAAGAACGCTTCAAAAAATTTATGAGACTGTACAAGGGACCATACATCGTACAATCAATCATAGGTATGGATACATACGTACTCCGTCACAAGAATAGAAAAATTCGGGGAAAATTTCACACCTCGCTATTAAAGCCGTATCACTACTATTAGTCGCTAGAGGTCGATTAAATATATGCAAATAGATTCTCCGAACTCATGCCTATATTCCAGCCTTCGCTGAGAAGATTTCTGAATAATTTTTGGCCATGGCCTCTTTAATAAAAGATAAGAGCACCCAGACCGATCTCTCGGATTTGAGGGACTTTATTCCTCATCCGCAGGGTCGGCCCTTTATGCCCTCTTCCAACCTGGTACCTTGGCTTGAGTGCAAGAGAACGCAAACTCCAGCCAGGTTCCCCCAGGTGGATTCCCCTATGGTGAAGCCACCAAAACCAAGGGTGAAGGAAGCCCCTATCCCTTTTCTGCCCTCCAGCGTTCCCCGACCTGCCAACACCGAGCCTGTTGCGGAAGAAAAAAAGGCTTCCAAGCAACAGCTCCGCAGGGTGAGGAAACGCATCGCCAAGCTAGGGGCAAGGATAGCAGAAAAAGAAGAGGAGATTAAGCGGCTAAGGGAGGAAGCAACCACCAGCGCCGTAGACCCTGGGGATCCCCCCGTTCTTTCTTACGAATAAAACTGTGAGGATGAACGATCGGATCGCGAAGAATCGATCAAATTTTATTATATTATTAATTCACAATTACTAATTGCTCTCAGCTGATTTCTGTTTCAGGTGTCGACTACTGGCATCCAGCAATTACTGGCGGCACGCTAGGCATCGTGGTAGCACGTAACTTGAGTTTGATTTCTCTTCCTTCTTCTTCTTCTTCTTCTTTTTCTTCTTCTTCTCTTCCTTCCTCCTTCCCTTGACGATAATCTTGCAGTTCAAGATTAGCGGAGAGAGGGGGTAAATTGGTATATTATTAAGCGAGAGAATTCACGGGAATCGAGAGAGAAATCGAATCGAAGGGAGAGCCGCATAGCAGTACACGGACATCACTGCCGGGGCAAAAGCATCGAGAAGGTCCCCCCCCCCCCCCCATAGCAAGGCCCTAGTCTGTTACAATCTTTGTGGCTGGATAGCGGAGCAAGTGTCTTCGTCGTCCCTCGAGCGCCTCTGGTGAGTTGCTAGTCTCTAGAGCATCCACCTTTATCTTTCTCTCTCTCTCTCTCTCTCTCTCATCGAGTACCTTCATTTTTTCATTTACCTTTCATTTTTTCATTCTCCTTTTTTTTCTATTGTGTCTAGATCATGGCGTCGTCATCTTCAGCTTCTGGTGAGGAGATTCGTCTTCGTCGCAGTTCACGGCTTTCTTCACGGGAACTGGATGTAAGGCCTCAGCCCATCGAGAGGTAAGTAGTTAATTTTTATGCGTATAAAAGATGATTGGAAACTAATTTTAATAAATTTGTTTTTTCGTTTTTATAGGCCGTCTGGAGAAATTAGTTTTAACGAAATTGATTTGCGTGCATATTACGACTATTTCCGTCACCGTTATTTCAACGATGACGTTGAAATGAAAGAGTGGCGGATCTATCGTGGATATGCGGGCAAACAAAATTTTGGGTTGACTGATTTCACGGACCGACACATCATAGTGAACGTGAAGAAGTGTGCTTCATTGCAGCAAGTGACTGGCACCATCTTGCACGAGATATGCCATGTTCACCTCTACTGCAAAGACGGTGAAAAGTTCGCACTGCGCCGATCATGGTGAGCTTTTTCAAGAGAAGCTCAAGATGATTAACGACCAAGGCGAGGACTACGTCGAGTGGTAGCGGTATTTGCTGCCTTTTATATTTTCTATCAATAATTTCTTTCCAAATAATTGATCAAACGATTTAAAATAACTATTTTTTTCTTATTCTATGCATGTATTTTATATTAAGAAATACAAACTTCACAAATTATAATTAATATTCTTTACATCCAAACACTTCAAAGGCTAGGACGTAATTGTCAAAGAAACCAAAAAATAACAGTCGAGATGTTCAAAGAAAAACCATAGAAACGCAGAAACAAACATCTTTCTATTATTAAAATCGATATTTAAACCATTTCTAATGCGTACTTGCACAATATTAAATTTATTGATTTATCCATTTAGCCGAAAAGAATTAGTAGCTGATAAAATTCATGAATGCCCAGGATAACCATACTGCCGAGGTTGGCGCACAAACTACGCTATTTGACAGTACATCATATCAGAGAACAAATAATAACTGATTTCTTTTATATAATTACCAGTCGCATTTGCTTGCGAGTTTAATTTCTAATACGCCATCTACCTAAGCATCTGCAAACTACACCAAAAGATTTAACTTAGTTGGGTTACTGCGTTCGTTTGCCTAGTTGGGTTGGGTTGGATTATTGTCCTAATGGATTCAAATTCACGGGAAAGGAATCATTAATCGAAAAAAAAATTAATCCGTGTAATTATTAAGTTATTTTCAGGGGGGATAATATGACTAACGAGTCAGTTTTACATATACCTACAAATTTATTACATAATTTTAATGATTTTACAATAAGTCTACGTTGGTTTTTTATTTGATAGTTTACATTTCGAAATTTACATAAATTTATGATTCTATTATTGAAATTTACTGTGGATAATCAGTTCCATTCATTTATTCTGTCCATGTTGCCTGTATTCCATGCTCCTTGCGGTTTCTCGGAGACGAGAAACGCGCTCACACCTGCTACATAGTGACCGTTATTACCGACGTCAGGCAACGATTTAGTCGCGTATCTGCAGTAGCATATGTTTGTTAAATGTCTTTTCGCGTAACAGTGACGAGCGAAAATTCGTTGACTGAATATTGACCTTCTATACAGAAGAACCCTTGAAAAATCGAAAATCGGAGAATTAGGGGTTGAAGAGGCACTTTTCTCGGAAAAAATATTGAAAAATAGTATTTAACATATTTCTAATAATGTGCAATGTTACCTATTGGATAAAGCTTCGAGAACCAAAGAGATAGAGCCCTCGCAGACCTCTGGGGGGTTGGGTTGGGTTGATCGGAGGGGATGAAAATCGAGGAATAAATATTTCTTGAAAATACACGCAAATTCGCTTACTATATTTATACGTAAAAAATATTCTATCTTTCGTTCGACAAATTACAATTATTGCGGTACAATGAGTAAAAAATGAAATGTATTATATATAATGCTTACTAAAGTAAAAATAATTATTGATTCCATGCAGAAGTCTTGTTAACCATCAAAAATATTTGAAAAGACTTCCTCATTCACAGAAAAAGGCATTTGTAAAGTATCATAAAATATAAATTAAAATGCTTTACGATATCCATGTATGTATGTACATTTTTTAGTTGATAGTATACAACTACTAACATACATAAATTTTACGTCTTTCTGTGAGTGAAAATTATTCACTGACAATGATATATAATCTTAATAAAAATACTTCTCAGATCGTTTTTTAAACAAAAACTCTGGAAACACAATGCTTTCTTTGGTACAATCTATATATTCACGAAATCCACGGAAGCATACCAAATTCTTTTAAAGTCTTTCGCACCTCTTTACAACTTTTCATTTTCTTCTTCTTCGCCGCTACTTGCTACATCCTTTATTGGAAAATTTATTTGTATCTCCTCCTCGGCCAAATTTGCACTTTTAGTCTGCTGGTTTTGATCGTTCCAGGGTTGAATTGTAGCTGAGCCAAATAGCCAGAAAAGTAGCGTGGCTGAACCGAATACTGCAGATGAGATGTAGAACATAATACTCCACTCATCAATTCCATTCTAATGAGAAAAACAATATAATCGTAAAAACATGTTCGTTAATCGAAAGAAAGTGTAAGGTGAATTTTATTAGGAATTTGACACTAGGATATTTAGTTAGATTAATTTAAGCGTTAACTTGGCCGCGATCGTTTCAGGATTAAATCTTAGTGGATCCCAATAACGAGAAAAGAAGTGTTGCAGAGATAAACACAGCGATGATATGAAAAATACGTACCATCATTCAAGAATTTTGTTTTAACCGATAGGAAAATTAAATTACAATATGTTCATTTAATTAAAGGCCAACATTTCTTCAATTTTTTACGAATTGAATAGTGAATTAATGTAAGGAAGAGGTATCAATTCGACAAATTTGAAAGAAAAATTCAATTATGAACTCACGTGTTCATTGGTGAGAGCACCGATGATAGCGGGAATGATGAACCCGGAGAAACTGCCAACAGTATTCATAATGCCATAGAGCGAGCCAGCAAAGTTGGGCGCGAGATCCTGATGATTGACCAAGTTGGTTTGGCAGGCGGCACCATTGAACGTGAGCGCTAAAATCATCCAGGTAATTGCTTCCAAAGATTCGCATTTGGCGTACGTCATTAACAAAAGGCAGACGGCAGGTCCAATGTGAGCTTTAATTGTAGAAATGTTTTTCAAATCAATGTCTTTTCTTTCAATTCCTAAAAAATATACGGGAATAACAACAATACAAGTAATCAAATCGTACAGAAAAGCATGAAGATTCGACGAATCCATCCTAAAGTAAGTAGTTCCTTCCTACGACAAAAGTCACCAGCTGCGGCGAAAGCTACACCAGCGGCCAGCCGCGAGATATAAGGAACACCAGTCAAGGCACCAGCCTTCTTCATGTTGAAACCAAGAATCTCAAGTGTGTACTTGGGTCCGTTGGTGGAGATGAAGTAAATTCCCCACATATTGGCGAAGTGAGCGTACAGTAAAACGAGGAATGGTAACGAAGTCAAGATGCTTATGATCGGCAGGGCAACTTTCTGTTTGCTAACCGAAGAGCCAATTTGCTCCTTAATATAAGTCTTTTCTTCTTCGGTAATAGTTGGATGTACTTCGGGAGTGTCGTAGGCTAGCCACACCCAGAGCAAATAGAACAGCAACATAAGGCCACTCGTCACGTAGTAAGCGGCCTTCCAACCCAATTCAGAGATTATCACACCACACAGGGACAATGTAACAAAAGTGCCGAATGGACCGCCCTGCATCGTCCATACGAACATGCCTTTCTCCGACGGTGGTACCCAACGAGCAATCATCGCGTGCAGTGCTGGATATATTGCACTCTGTAAAAAATCACCAGAATTTTTTAATTACTTTTTTTCAGAGTAGAGTATAGAATACGAATCTCACGATTAATTGGACAATAATATATTTGCTTGTACCGCACTTGCAATCTCCTAATAAAGATATATTTAACAGCTCTCTCTTTCTCTCTTCCTGTCGTGAAGTACAAAAAAATGCGGCCATATAGCTAGTATAATTGCAAAATGACCTTTGTAACGAGCATCATCCTTTCAGCCTCGGCAAACCATATTATTTATAAATACGAGTCTGATTTATTAACTTTATTGTAAAACATATGAATTCTTCGTTTATCATGGAAACCTGATTAAATGTATACATTTAATTCGGAATGTTCTCTCGCAAAAATTATTAAATGTGTAGATATTGAAGCCAGTAATTGCCTCAAGAATGTACGTTACGTAGAGAGAAAATAAATACCAATTTGCTATTGGCACTAGCAGCTAGTTCTGCATCATATTATACGTTACGTAAACTACAAGTGCAATGAATATTCCAATAAAACTAAAGTAAAACGTGTATAGTGATACCAAATAACTAGGAATTAGCAACGGATTATCTGAGAAAAGTACGTATGTAGATAAAAAAAGTGTCGATTAACTAGGTGGAAGGGTCAAATGGTCAGCTATGCTGTCTGCTACTATTTACGCAATCATGTTCCGCGGTAAACAATTTGATAATCACGACTATGCAGTCTCCATTAATACTTCTCTAGATAAATTTTTTTTTTTTACTTCGTGGCATATTCTTCATCCAAGATGTTGTATGTTCACGCTAAAAATGTGCACTGTTTGTTTTGCAAACTCATTGCTGCGGATGTGTGTTAATAATTCCGCACGGTAAACTATTTCTATTTCAGGGTCGCGAGACCGAAAAAAAATTACATTTAATTACAGTCTTTCAACTTGACTGACTGTTCTACTTTTATGTCGATTATTGTTACTTGTTACATAAAGAATATCTTCTCTTTCATGAGTGTGATAAACAAAAATGAAGAGTATTGTTAAAACCTGCGGTATCCGAATTGGACAAACTTTTGGTAGGAAAAGCAAAGAAATTTCATAACCAGTAAAGTTTCTTGAAAAAAATGTTATACTTGGTCAAACTTACGCCAAAGAAGCCAGAAATACATCTCAAAGCGAACACAAACATATAGTGATGCACAGCTACCCATGGAATTGCGAGATTTAGCAAGGCTGGAATCAATGTGGCAAAACTACAAAACAATACAGAATTATTTATCTATTTATTCGACGAGCAAAAAAATAGATAAAAATGAAAGTAAAGTCATTTAAACTCACGCAACGACTCTGGCACCGCCGAATTTCTCTGCGAGCATGCCACCTGGTATGCTCGATGGCAAAGTGCCGTAGAAGTAAGCAGCTAATATTTGACCTTGCATGTTCTGGCTCCATGCGTAGCGTTCACCAAACTGGAAAAAATATAATAAATAACCAGTTTTAGAAGAATTGAAAAAAAAAAAAATTAATAAAGAAATGAAACAATCTGATTTACATCGTCGATAACTTTGGGTGTGCTACTATTGCTTCCGAACTGATTAGCGTCTTGACAATAAGGTCCTTTCGTGGAGTTGCCTTTACCTGTTGGTTGTACCATGGCCACGATGATGATTGACAAATTAGTTCTTATTACGTATGAGAACATGCAGGCAAGGAACATTAGCGAGCCGAGGATCGCTCGCCTTGGTATCTTCATGGCTAAAGCTGTACCGACAAAATTCCTATTTGTTAGTTTAATTCTTTCGATAATTATTTCATGCTTTTTTGTTATTCGTCTTTGAGTTGTACTACACTTTAAACAGCGTAGTTGCGATAATTAGGTGTAATTCCTCCATCTTAGCTGCCTATCGTCTGTTCATAGAATTTAACCGAACGTTAATAACGTTCGTCTTCGATCATTTACTCAAATATCAAGTCAATACGTACTGTGATTCACGACAACAGGATCTTTATCGCCATAAACGTACAACTGATTCGTTCATATGAAGCCCATAAAAATTTCCACTCAATGAACTCATTTAATATCAATACTTTCCATTCAACGTGCGAGTATAGACAGTAAAATATACGATTAACCACATATAACGTAGATCAAAAAAAATAAAATTGAGACTAAGCGGTAAAAAGATACGATAACCGGTGGCTCGTATTTCTCATCGCTCCTCGCGGTTGCGATCGACATCTACATACAAGGTTGCCAGTCTTGTGTATTTAAACTCAACGCGAGGTAACTGACCCCGCGTATTATTAACTTTATAGGATGTCATATGCATGACTCCAGTATACGATACTGATCCACTTTTTTATGACTCAGATGCTGCACAAATTTCCTCCTCTTTCGTCGAGCTATGTTTTCAAAGTTCGTTTGTTGATATTTATATCGGGATTCAAAATTGAACTGCTGAAACTGTTTCAATATCGTTTCGTATCGTACCATAGTCTATTCATTTCTATTATTTTTTCGAATATCTCTCGTGACAAGGTTCGAATTCATCGTAAGGTGTCGATCGGCGTATCACGCGTCGACTTTCCCGGAGAAAAGAAATATAAGGACTTCGCGCGCGTAAGTGACGCACCTTCTGGCATAACAATAATTCTCGCGCGCATTGACAAATGATAATTGCGAGCTGTTTAATGTTAATAGTAATAACGATGGATGATCAGTAACGATGAATTGCGATTAAGTTTAATAAAAAGCTTATGAAAACAGTTGGTTGTGAAGTCTCAAGCAAGAGATTGTAAATTTTTAAGTATCCCTTTCCGTTAATCGATGATTTCCGGAATCCGGTTAACTCTTGTACATACGACTTATAACAAAACAAATTATACAAGACCTTAGCCAGCCGTGCAGTATCGTGGTATTCGAGTTCGTTTGCGCGCAAAAAGAAATTATTGGATTTTGGATCTCATTTTTTTACAAACTGTTATATAGCAATTTACGAGAAAAGCTGCGTTCACACTGCATGTTATTCATACAGTCATACCAAGTTCACGATTATTATAGAAATACTCGTTCAATAATTCCTTTCTTTCTGTTTTGTGCGCAGATACAAAAATAAAAACGTGTCGGTAAAACGCAAAAGAAATTCATGTGTATAATGCTTACCGTTGATTCTCCGAAGTAATGTCATATTGGAAAAAAAATCAGCTGCTCATGTGCTCATGTATATATGTGATACGTATTCACGTGAGTGCAGTGTGTATAATGAATGCTAGACGCAGTCGTCTGTAGCGGGCAATAATTCGCTGTAAGGAAAACGAAAAAATGAACGGTAAAAAAATAAAGCGAAGATGCACGTATACAAGAAACGTTTATCTGTTTAGCGAGATAGCGAACCGGCAACCCAGATGCTCTGGTATACGAGCGTGCAAGACAAAACATACGTAAAATCTTTGCGTAACGATATTGTCATGAGACGAATATCCCTTATCATCTTGTTGTACCTGCTTGACCATTCGCAAGGTCTACTTCGGAATTATCATCGTTCTATAGTACGGGCAATCATAATATACGTTCGTCATTTATCCCATTGTTTGCTTATACTACAGTTTTCTTTGGTAATTGTATAAATACTACTAATAAATATCATTTTTTTCCCTTGATGTAATATATTTGTAAAATAAAAATTTTCATAACAAGCAGTTTACGATGTAGCACGGGTGCGATCGGTTTACGCGTGCGAGCGCAGAACGTTGTTATCTTATTGCAAAGATTTTTTTTTAATAAGCATTTCAAAAACGTAATTGTTGTTGCCCCAGTTCTCTTTCGATTTATCAGCGAGCAAACTAAACGAAACGATAACCGCGTGACGAAAATTTTTTTAGAAACGACTTCGGTAAGTGTGAATAGATCTTTACTTTTTGCGCACGGAATGGGCCGAAAATAATTTCTCATCGTTTGGGTTTGAGTTGAGTTGGGACGGCGACTTTACTCGATATTTTTAAAAAGTCAATTGCAGCGACCAAGCAAGCTGAAGTATTACCGAGGAGACCTCCAAAAAAAAGTGCTCAGTGCGGCCACCGGGCAAGGTTGAAACGCTTGCGAGGATGTGCGCGTATATGGCAATGAATCGCAATTAGCGCGGCGGCTTTTCGTTGAGAATTCAAATATTTTCGACATGCATTAAAGCTAGACCTTGCTAAACTTTGTGTATTTTTTCTCAACAAAACTGTTATCTTTTTCTTTTCTTTTTTTGTCAAATCAATCGACGTAATTTGCTTTCGAACCGCTACATTTTCTCATTAAAGTACCACTGCGAATAATATGGTCAATTTGCTGCAATATTACACAGCAACAACAATTCTTAAACAATAATTTTTCTATAATCTCAAGAAGATTATTATTCGAATTTTCAAAAAGCAGAAAGAAAAGTTTCTTCGTTTCGAGACATATATATATATATTGAACTAAGAAATATTATACTTAAAAAAAGAAAAAATCAGTAAAATTCCACAAATATTCTCACATCAAATCGATTCTTAAAACAAAAAAGTTAGTCTTTAAAGTGAACGTGATAGTCACAATTTATGATATTAAAGTTACATATGTTATGATTCAACGAAATATTTATTAAACTTTAATGCGATGACGAAGCTAATTCCGTCGATAAAGTCAAAATATCAATAGAAATGCGAAAAACTCAGCCAACCGTGCAAAAAATAATGGAAATTTTTAAATTAAACCGCCTGGAAAACGTGATATAATCGCGGAAGGTTAGACAAAAATTCAAAAACGTTGCGAGAAAAATAAAACTTATTTTCTATTTGTAAATTATTTGTAAATATTATTTCGTAATATTATTACTATTTTTTAAATCTCATTGTTTCTTTTATTTTTATAAGGGAATAAGAAAGAGTGCGAAGCCATCATTCAATAATTCAAAGCGAGTCGGATGAAAATTAACTAAACAAAATATATACTTCAATGATGAACAGTAAGTATCAGAGATTTGGCAAAGCCAAATTCAAAGTTTCATTCAAGAAATATTAAGCGGAATTACAATATATTGCACTCCCCCGCGCACTCCCTTCGTCGTACGCTATTCGATCCACTTTTCACGTGTCAGCGCGTTTATATCATGTTTTCCAAAAATATAACGTTAGATTACGTATGAAAACATTTCTTCGTTTATATTTTTAGTTTTTTCGTGATGGTCACGCGGCACCACCTTCGATGTCACGAGTTTCTCTTTCGCACGTTTTAAAAATTCCATTGAATCTTGTTTGGAATGGTTTTACATTCGACATTTAACAGTCCTTTTCGCAGTTAAGAAAGCTTTCGTGTTAAAGGTTATTTATTCTTTTACCTGTTAAAATAGGTTAAAATTATAGAAAATAAAATGTTTATAATTGTAGTAATCGCAAAATTACCGATAGACTTACAATATTATTCATAGTCCATTTTAAAAACGAGGTCACATCGTATACTTATCCGTGCAAAAAAAGCATGTTAACGTCGAATAAGCTGTATTTAATATATAAAATGCCCATCAATCCTAAAAACAACTAATTGCTCTAAATCTCACCTATTTGTTGCTACAAATAGTAACTCTAAGCCGATGAATGCAAATACTATACACTCAACACCATGCCATCACAGCAGCGCGGGGAATTAAATTGGATGGCACTCTATAAACTAGAATTACCCGCAAACGACTAGTGTCGACTTCTCTTTCCTTGTGGCGCGCAAGCATCCACTGCCACCGCCACTTTATTAAGCCTCGTCTCCACTTTCGACCGAGTGAACATCGTTGCAAGATAGAATGGGAATTGAAGGCCGCGGTGAATGCAGAAAAAAAAAATAAAAACGCGCTTCTTTGCGAGTTTCATATATGGAAATTCAACGATGACGTTGTTAGCGGACATTTTACGCGTTTATTTCTGGTTGCTTAGAATCATACAGCACTCAATTGAACGAATTTTGTGTCTGCATATACACTTGTGTGTTGAAAAAAAGAGTGTATATAATTAGCACGTCGAATAAAAAAATCTGCCAACGACTTTATGCTACATACATGATATATTATTTTATTAAGAAACTTTCAATATACGCGATTTAATCATCGACAACAAGCGGAATAAAATAACTCGAAAAAAAATTACTTTAAAACGTAACACAACTAATTTAACGATAGTGGAGCTCTCGTTAATTTCTTAATAGCTTTTTCACTTTGGTCATAACCTAAAAAGGGTGCGACAGCCCTACGTGAACTGTAAAACTCGGAAACAACCACCAAACCGACACTAGTCATTGGCAAATCATGGTAATTTTCACATGCATAAGTCACTTCACGCATTTGATACGAAAAAAAAACCAAGAACGGAACCTCGCACATTTATTTCGGTGACCGCACGTCACAATTGATATCCGTTCCTCGCCGACATAAGATCAAGAGACGAGCCTCCCAAAATCGTTGAATAGAATCATCTCTCGCGCGCCCCTCACCGCTGCGCTTCTTTTATTTCTCGCCCAAGCCTACAATCTTCCGTTGGTTAAAACCTCTATATCGCTCAACATGATTTTTATTCACCTTTTCTATAACCGAGCAGACGATTACTAAATGTAGCGTGGCACAAATGCAGATTGCGCGGATGATACTATTTGATGTATATGCGCTATGATATATAGCGTACTATGCGTGGTATTTCCGAGTTTGCTTCAACCAGAGTTAATGCGCTTGCGCACCTAGGATACCTAGTAAAATGTTACAATATTTTTTATTTCTCTTAGACGTAAAAAATCGAGGTAAGCATCAGCTACTAGTAATGTTCATTTTTTTACGTAATGAATTCGTATATAATTATTTATTTATATCGAAGAAGAACACATCAGTATCGATTGAGTTTCAAATGATAACCGCGGTAACAGGAAGCAGAAAATGACTAAATAGTATGTACCTAGCTCAGAGATGGCAGCAGCAGTTTGGTGCCGAAGCTTACAACGTTCCAGCAATGTTGCGTGCGCAGAAACACGTGTGTAGTCGGCCAGGTCGCAATGAAAAAAAATAAAAGGATCTGCGCGCCGAGTGGTTTGCCGACTGTACGGATAGAATTACCCTCGTTAACTCCTGTAGCTGAGTCACGAAAGCCGCAGGATCTGCCGGAAGACTGGCGACGACGACGAACTTAAAAGGGGTCCGCGAGAACGTGCAGTAGACTATTTCCGCCGAGGGAGGCCTGCAGAGGCTCCTTGAAACGATTCCGGAGCCCGAGGAGAACCAAGAGCAGACTACCAGGCAACGGCTTCTGTGGGTGGCACAGCAGTCTCGCCTTAAGATGATACGGCGCGTAGTTCGCACCAAATTTGATTCTAACTCTTATAAACTCATATTTTTCGATATATTTTATTATTTTTCTCTTTAAAAAATAATACTTAATAACATCGAAATATTGTTACACGATGAACATACCTGTAATTATAGAAATTAAAACAAAACACTATGAAATTTGAGTTTTTCTTATTTAGTATATGTGTGTGTATATATTGTAATATTGTACGTATTCGTCAACTAGCGTTATTTAACGTGTTTTGCTCACTCAAATGTTATTTTTCTGTTATTTATTATTTGTATCATATAATCATAACTTTACTCAATAGCAGTGGTTTTCTACGGCCTTAGTATTATATTACTAATAGTAATACATCTTTAAATCGAATGTTTTTTTGCTCCCTCGTTGAAAGCATTCGTAAACATTCTTCAATATTAATAAATTCATAATTAGTTTCCGTTTCCCGAATACCTCTCACTTTACAATGTAAAAAACTATAAATTTAATTTTCTCCATTTTGTTTTATTAATTTTTTCTCTCGTCTCACTATATATTTGAAAACGACACTTTTCATTTCACAGGTGGTAATCAAATTATCAATTCTTACAAATTATATTCTAGCCAAATTTGAAATAATAGTTTCTTATTTTTTTTAACATGATTCATTCATACCATATTTCTATTTTTGCAAATTATTATCAATATTAATTATTCATAATTGAATTTACTGCTGCAATATAAATTTCGCACTTTTATAGATATATAATACAAATATTTCAAATTATACGAAAATTCAGATTTTCGCGTTTTTTTTTAGTACCAATAAATCACAATTGGATGTCGGCGATTTATCATTTTCTTAGATAGGAATAGGAATAATAAATTGATTATTGATTAGTTTTACTTATTTTTTGAAGAAGTTTATTTCACTGCTCTGTGATGTAATTTTTTCTTTCTGGCATCTACATTGTATCAAATATTCAAGTTCTATGCACATTCAGCTTTTACTCAAACGAAAACAAAGCTGTCCAGTTGAAGAAGCTAAAGGATTTCTGTAAATATAAAAATCGTGAGTCTATTTTTTAAATATTTGAAAAAAAGAACATGTTTACCGTGAAGTAAGAATTTCGACAGAAGTCACCACGTGCACGTACCTAAATTTTTCCATGAAAAATTTACTTGCCAAGACGTTGATGTCTCCCCAGTCACTCTTGATATGAAATATCTGCGGCACTATTAAATAGACTAGAGAAGATATAGATACGAATATAGGCAAAGAACTTGAGCGCATCTCCAGAATTTCGAGGCATTTGGCTACACACCCCAGGCGTTTAATTAGATATCCGTCGAGCTACAGCACGTCGTCGAGTAACAAGTGTATTCTTTCTAGGAAGCTCCTCTTAATCGACGTACATCTCAAACTTTACGTGCTTTCTCATGCGTTTTGTAACACATGTCAATCGTATCAATATTTACGAACAAACTGAATATCCGCTAGTCCGCTCAACTTTATCCAAAGCAATATTTAGCCTGTCGGAAATTCTTCTGCTTTTGCAAAGAAATGACGTCTCGCCAAGAGTCGCGTAGAAACTATCCGCGAGGAGAAAGAATGCGAGGCAATAATGACAGCCAATGTGCATGTTTTATGAACTGCTCTCACTTGTCTCAGAAGATTATTACTTAACAGATAACAATTTCCTACTTCGCCGATACCAGCTCCGTGAAATATTAATAGCGTCGTTTCCCATACGACAGGTATGCATCTATATTGGCAGTCGCTAGCGAGACACTGGTAGACTCACATATCGCACGCAGCGGGGAACACATCAGTCTACATCATCTCTACATGTTACTATAATAGAACTCTTCGGCTTATTCCAAAATACGAGTTTTGGCCATCTACGTGACGTAATCCTATGTGATAGTAGTTCAGATTTTACAATATCGACAATGAAGGTGTACAAATTACTGCCGCAAAAACGTAGGCAACTGACGTAAATACAACTTTTTTGTATTGTTTCATTTTCCAATGTCTATAATTATACTAACTAAATGCACCTGGAATATTTTTACAGCGTAACATAATAGATCGTGGATAGCGTATAGCTTTTTGGAAGTTCAATATTATATGAATTTTTTAAATATGATTACGACTTAATTTTTGTCGTCAAGGACACATAAATAATCTGTAGGTAATAATACTCCCTTTGTCGGATACAAATGGTACGTTCGCTTTTCATTTTCATTTAATCAGTTTTTTTTTTTTTTTGTAACTGTAATTTTCAATTTTTGATATTCACGAATTAAAAATAAGCAATTGATCACGTTATCATCTCCTGTTAAACGAAAATTAGATTTTCGATAAATTGTTTCTTGAGAATATAGAGCATTTTCAATAAATATTGGACGTTACGTTGCCTGAGGAAATCGATACTTCGGATGAGAATATGCTAGTGCAATATACGTATAGGAAAATTGATGCAAAAACGCGAATTTTGTTTTCATAAATAAATCGTAGAGTTGGATATAGCAACTATCGAAAAAATCTACAGTTTGTCAAGAATGTATTACGCGGATTGTGTAAATCCATTCAAATAATCATATTTTTCAAATGAAGAGATGTTATAATGTAGTTTTTAAAGAAATTCGTACGAATAATACATGATTTAAACAAATAATATTCATAGTGTTCTAAATAAACTAAAGAGTGCTCTGATAACTAGTCTTAACTACGCATACTATGTCCAATATAAACTAGGTTCACGGTGAACATTTAAATCTTTGAACGGAGTGTATCAAAAGAATATGTGACTTATATATGCGAATTTGTAACTATGTGAATGACATTCCCTTACATAACATGTTAACCACGGTAGTTCAAATCACACTGCTAATCGGAATTGCCATGTAGATTCTAAAATTAGTGATGTTTCGATTCTGAAGTGATTTTTGATATCACAGGCTGACAAAATTTGAAAAAAATTAACACCTAGAGACCAGTTAAGATATTTCCGAAGGCATTTGATGCGCTGAATCCGAATCTAAGCTTAGAATTGCTTCCTCGCCTTCAGTTTTCAAGATATCCTAACCTAAAAACGTCAAAAATACGTTTTTTTACCGTTTTCCACCCTCTGTAACTTTGTAAAAAAATGTATTCTTTTTGCAAATTTAATGACGGCATTTTAAAGAATTAGTCTTGTCCTTCAAAAGACACTGCTCATTTTCAATATCATTTTTCTCGACAGAGATATCACACATTGAAGTATGATAAATTTGCATTTTCGCAAATGTCGTTTAAGCAGAGGAAAGTTTCGCTGAAAGATAACAGTGGTAAACCTAGCGGGATACAGGATTAGTGGGTTAAGGAACTCAAGATGTAATGGTTGGGGGTTATTGCAGGGTACAGGGATCTTGGGTTGAGATACTTGGGATGTAGTGGACCGAAGTTATTACCTTGAATAGTACAAGGTTTTTTGATTAAGGCAGTTGGCATTATATTTTATTTTTTAGCGAAGATTATCTTTAAGCGAATCTTTTCTCTGATTAAACGACATTAGCGAAAATGCCAGTTTATAATACTTCATTTTGTCATACCTTTGTCGAAAAAAATGATATTGAAAAAATGTGAAGTGTATTTTAAAGGGCAAGAGTTGTTTTTTAAAGTAACGTGGTCAAATTTGCAGAAAAATATTTGTTCACAAAGCTACAGGGGTTGAAAAATAGCAAAAACGTGTTTTTGACGTTTTTAGATTAGAATATCTCCAAAACTAAAGATGATAGAGCAATTCTGAGCTCGGTTTCGGATTCAGCGCACCAAATTCCTTCGAGTACACCAGGTCCAGTCTGTGGGTGTGAAAACGTGTTAGCCTATATAATTTAACGATAGTAGGCAGTTGATTGACCGTTTTGAAAATTAGATGAATGAAAGATAGGTGTTCTCTTTCGTCGTAAACCGTGTAACAATGGGTCGTATTTCCTTTTCTTTTTCTTAATATACGTGCATGAGAAAATTAAACATGCAGAGACGAAATCTCCTTTTGTTACGAAATGAGTATAAAAAACCCTGCGCGAGGTCTAAGCGACTGTTCCAGTTCGTGTCCAAGTTCAAGCGTGAACTTAAAAACAAGTGTTAGTAGTGTAAAGGAAAGGAGAAAGTTGAAAAATAAAAGTAAGATATCCAAATCAAACCGGTCGTTCACTCTCTCTCTCTCTCTCTCTCTCTCTCTCTCTCTCTCTCTCTTCGGAAACCAGGTACTACAATCAGTTGGACTCGGGGTATTTTCACTTGTGAATTACGACTATCGGCCTCCGAACTGCCTGCGGCAAATGTATGAACTGGTTTGTACGTTTCTATCATCAGTGTATATTCAAACAATGTTGTTATAAGTTTTGGACACTAATGGTTCGGAGGCTAAAGTCTATCGCCACCTAATAGCGATCTACACGCAAATAAATTAGTGAACCAACATAACGTGTATCTACTCTTGTATACTTCGTAACAGCGCCAAATACGATGCAGCAGTGTTGAAGACCTGCAATGAGAATAAAAAATTGACGTTCAATTGTTAATAAAAAGAACTGCCTAAGCTCACTTTTACCTCGGTAATTTTGCGTCTACACATGATCTGCAAAAAGCTGACAATCTGGCATTGCTTTTGCGACCTAAGTACGATGAGAATGAGATCACGTTGAACTGTGGTAGGAAACGTGAACCAAGAAATCTCCAAGAAGACTGTTTGGGCAATGGCCCTACTCTCCTGGATAAGTAATTCACCCGACCAGCACCATAGCGATAGTTGTATGATCATGCAAATAAAGTAGCCCGCGAATTTGATGATTTCGATCTCAGAGCAGTTATCACTCTTGATCAAGGAATACCCGTTCGTACAAATAATTAAACCTGCTGTCAGCACATGGACGGTGGCCATTGGCCCTATTATAGCGTTCAACTCGTCTGTTACTCTAGACATGAGATTTGTTTTTTCGATATCATATATGCATATGTCTTTATTTCAATGAGCTTCTATAATTATTAATGAATGTTATGAACTAAATGTATACTAAAATATAAAAAAGTGATTGAATTTCTGAAATATCACAAAAAACGTTCAGTGCAGTTAGGACACACGTATGGATGTCTAAGCGTGTAACACGTACTATTTTGATGGCTCATTTACTGAACTTTATGTCTTTACGGAAAAATCAAATATCCGATACCTGATAACATGTTGATGATGCGCGATGCATCGTCTAATTTCTATCACCATGACATCGCCATTGACGTGTGGTATTTTCTCGCGACAAGTTTCCTTACCGATGGCTCTGAGTCGCGCACTTATCAATGCGAATTGCCCAGTGAGATGTAGTATGATAGACATAGCAGTACAATCGGTTGCGACAACCGACGTAAGGGCGCCCATCAATGTCATCATTTGCCAAATAATCAGAATCTCGAAGACCGGCGACTGCTGATAGTCAAATCCGTACCTAAATATCAGACGATAAAGTCAACAGACGTCTTAATTTCTTGGCTTTCTGGGATAAATACATAACTAATAATCAACAACTAACAAAGTGTCTATTATAAGTATACGCCGCATGTCCGTTTGATTATCGGCCCTTTGATATTTAAACTCATTGAAGATGGCAGTCAGGAAAAACGTTATGACGTTTGCGAAGCCCGTGATCGCACAGGAAATGGTGACTGTTTTTCCCCAAATTGCGAAATATTCAAAACATTGCCGTTCTTTCTCCTCCTGGCTTATTTCCCAAAATTCCTTCAACTTATTTAAGACTTGAATACAGGAATGGCGATGTAATATAATATATGTAAACTTGAACACTATCAAGAAATGCGAAAATATAATGCTGCTGCAGTCTTTCGTATTCAAAATAATAAAGATGACAATATCATTATTTAATAGGAATGAAGAGGAGATCTTATGAAATATATAATTTTACCTGATAAGATAAAAATATTACCCCAGTTCACCCAGATAGTGTAGATTAAGCCCATAATTATGGTGCACTCCAAAGTAACATGAAGGAAAATGCGAAAATACGTAAAAAGTCTAGACACAGTAGTAGCGTTTGAAGGCAATGGCCAGATGCCTATAGTGGTCAGTAAATATATGTTTGGCCACAACACTCCTTCCAGACTCATATGCATTTTCTACGATATACTTTTGAAAAATCAAATAATAATGTAAATACTTTATTCGGTTTGGTATTCAAAGCTGACTTTAGTTCTTTGCTTGAGTTTTGATCAATTCTAATCTGTTACAGCTATCCTCCTTCTTTTCAGTTGATTTTTGTAGAAAACACTTCAGTTTCTTCGTTCTGCAGATATAATCGAACTATGTAGTAGAATTAAGCTCGACTTCATTCATATTAGCTATATGACTTATTAATTCGAGTGTAATTGTAAAGTTCTTCTAAAGTATTCTTACATATTATTCGTATCAAATAGTAAGCTAGAACAAATGACGTGCAGTTGTAAATATACTTTAGACAAAAAGTATATCAATTGTCTTAAATTTATTCAAATATATATGTGTGTACAATGTTAAAAAGTGATATGGATAAGAGTATTTTAATTTGATACCTTGTTCGATCAAGAATAACCCAAAATGATATTACATACTTACAATGTACCCTGTACCCTCAAGTGTTTGATTATTACGATGCACTTTGATAGATGTTATATCAATCGGAAATCGTTAGTTTTGATCGTGCAAGGTATCAAACTAAAACTATTAATTTCTATTCTCCCAATCACTTTCCAAAATTGTTGTAAACGGAACAAAAAGTCATCCTTTACTTATGTGATTTTTATAAAAATCTACGACTATTTACATTAAATAAAAAGAGGAAATAAGTGTAGAATTTCTAACGGAGAAAAAATATTTCCCATTCTAAAACTAGGAAAAATGAATTTTTTTAATATGATTCATCCGGGAACATCAATGCAGTCACGTATTTGCACGAATAGTATGTGTGTTATGATAATTGTATCAATATAGAATACAAAATTGGTCAGATGTAGAAAAAAATGTACAGTTAACATAACATATGGAACAAACTACTGATCAGTAATATAAAACTGCTGTGTCTTTAATAACAAAAAAATGTTCGTTAATGTAAATTTGTTATTACTTGCTCAAAAAATTCTAACAATAACGATTAGAATTATACCATGTAATTCAAAAATAAACAATCTTTCTTCTAATAAACTTCTTTATTAAATATGCGATTAATCCTAAGATAATTGGTATTTCTTTCTGTAACTTCAGCAATGAAATATAACTTTTATTTGATGGCTTGTGAAATATAAGAAGCTTACAAGTTTAGTATGAGATTTCAACAAAAATTCATTGAAAATTCGGTATCTGAAGCTAACTTTGATGTATAAAAAACATATTTACACTGTAACGTTGTCTGCTTAGCAGGTGAGAAGGAACTGACGCCTCCAGCGTATAGTTAGTGCAACAGTGTAAATAAATGAAGAGCTTCACCGATGGCCTTTTATTTGCTGCTGTGGCGACACTATACTTTCTCGAAAACAACCAGGCATTATAGTAACTTCGTCAAGTATTCATGGTCTCGTGTGACGTATTTGCTTTTTTTTTTTCGTAGTCGTGATCGAGACATCTTAACGTGACGATCCTGCTGAGTGCAACGAATTGTTGAATCAGAGAAAGCATGATTTGTCAGAATTTAAATTTTGCACGGTAAATTATCATCGCAAAATAATACATATTTAGTCGGATAAACGTGATAAGTATTCAATAATAATGGACGATGAAAGTGGAAATTCGTTGAGAAGTTTATGAATAAAAATTGTAAGTGACGTGTTTTTAGTGTGACTTACAACAAATTCAAATTCACAAAACGTAATTACGTATGTATTACGTAACTCTCATAGTGAAGTTCGATCATGTGCCGATTCGATATATATTTGAGCGCTGTATCAGTCACTAGGATTATAACATTTATAAATATTGTGCATATGTAACAAATAAACTAATAACAAATAAATCCTATTACATCAACTTGATAGGCGATTGGGCTATTTATATTATTTTATGCTACGAAAATCAATAAAGTCGAGCATATCTGCATATATACTACGCACCTCTATCGCGCGCGGCTTATCTTGCAGCAATGAATGTACAATTTGATTCGCATAATAGTGTTCTTGTATGTTTCGAAGCATTAATACGAGTATATTTAGCTTTTTATGTAATGTACCATTAATTAATACCTAAATTTAATCTTATTTTATAAGTGTTAGTAGATATGTACCGCAGCTAATGACTTGTTATTAGGTTCATTATTACATAGATGAATTATATACAGATTTGGCTATATATAACTAAATGCTAAAATGCTAAAATTTTGACGGAGTAGATATTTAGAAATGTATTACGTTGATAGTTTGTTTTTGATGACTTTTTGTTTTTATATATATTTTTGAAAATTTAATATATATGTTAGGCACCTGACAGTATATGAACTTTCGTAATCATAAATCCATTGTTGATATTATGAATATTGCGATAATAAATTCAATTATCGACAGCTTGGAGTCGGGGAGTCAGTTATCTCATCTGTTACGTAGCCTAACAGCCATGATAGTCCATTCGTTTCCAACACATGTCGAACAAAAAGAAATCCAACAGCTTGGTCAAGTAAACAACAATTCGAATATCGATAGATGTTGATGATCAATTCCGCATCTGAAATATCAAAAGACAATTAATGAAGGAGATAACACACATTACGATGTTTCCCACACCTATTTAAAAGATGTTGACTGCTTCGGTCAACGCTGCGAAACACTGGAAATTCGTCTGTAGTTCGTGCATCTCTAATTGATGATAAATACACACTAAGCATCCAGTTACAGATGAATGCCAAAAATAAATAGGAACTAATTTCGCGTCAATCATTCGAAGCGAGCAATGCTAAGAGTCGATTATTCGAACAGATACTAACTACTAAGTCGTTGCTAAACGATGCTGCGTATACGTTAGGTGTTTTATCTGTGGACTGACAACAATTCAAGCATGATAAATGAAGTACTTGAACAGACGGTTATTTATTTATTTTCAATAACATATGAAACACACATATAGTAAGAAAGCATTCGTTATAGGTATTAGAGTAGCATAACGAAATTTTAAAAACACTCAATTATTGATTCCAATGAAAAATGATCGGTGTATTCTGATTAAGTAAATGACCTTATGGGCATTACAGTGATTTATAGTAAATGCATATGAATGATAATCAGTCATAAGTAGTGTAATACATCTAATCTTGTATACTTTGTAACAGTGCCATGTACGATCCAGCAGCGTTGAAAACCTATAACCAGCAAAAGCACATTGACAATTTATTCCATAAATATTGCTGGGACTTGATGGAAAATTGTAAAAACTGGCTCAACCCTCACCTCGGTTAATTTACCTATACACATAACTTGAAAAAAGCTGATAACTTTACTTTCCTTTTGTGACCTAAGAATGACGAATCTGAGATTGCGTTGCACTCTAGTCGGGAGCATGTACCAAGGTATCTCCGAGAAGACTGTTTGGGCAATGGCACCGCTCTCTTGGATAAGCAATTCGCCTGGCCAGCACCATAGCAGTAGCTGCATATTGATGGCGACGAAGAACACGGCAAATTTGACTATCTCAATGCCGCCGGTGTTACCCTTGATCAAGGATAAGCTGCTCAAGCAAACAACTAGGCCTGACGTTAGGATCTGAGCGAATGCCATTGGGCCGATGAGAGCGCTCGTTTCCTCGGTCACTCTAGACATATCACGATCACTCAAGAATACAATTTCGTAGACAACATTTTTATTTCTTTTCATTTATTATTTTCATTATCTTTGGGAAGGGCAACTCTGGCAACAAGTTGTCGCGTGAATTATCACAGAACTTATTTCATGATTTTTTTTCGACTGAATAATAATGTGATGAATGGTGTGAAACATTATATATAAAACCATGCGATACATCATACCACGTCGAAAAAAATATCCTTATAAACTGTATTTTTTCATAAGATATTTCATATGATAAGCATCATACGATTCTTCACAGCATTTGTCACATAATTCGGATAATAAAATCATGTAATGCATATTGTCAGATAAATCATGTGTTGAATATTGTAATAGTCTCTTAATATAACCTTTTATTAGCTTTACTGTCCAGTGAAGTCAATTCATTATTCAACGACGTCACTTGTATCTTTGTTATAAAATTTTCAGAAAGTATCATAAGCAACATTATCATCGCAAGATTTAATACACGATATGTCACATAATATATCACACGATTATTTACGAACAGATAATTAAAATTTTGGCGAATAAGTAAATATTCAAATATTTAAAATATTTAAAATTCAAATATTTAAATATTTAAATATTTAAAAAGTAAATATTTAAATATTCAATATCGTTGCTCGGAATGCGTACATATTTTCTTTTTGAAAATTTTGTAATAAGGTAGTAGTTCGTCGTTAAATGATAGGTTACTGACAACCGATGAAAAGAAATGCACGATGTAATACAAAAATATTGTTAAATATGTGTTTAAAATATTTGTTGTTTATTAAACCGACCGTAAACATGAAAGGAAAATCCATTGGGATTGATGTCTATTTTATACCTGACAAGGCGTCGATGATGTTCGATACAGCGCTCAATGTCCACAATTATCTCGTTCAAGTGGCGAATTTTGTGAGAGTAAATGTAATTACCGATGTTTCTTAATCGTGCACTTATAAATCTGAATTGGCCAGTCAAATGTAATATAGCAGTCATGACAGTACAATCGTTGCCAATCATCGTTATGGATGCGCAAAAAAATTGGAATATTTGAAAAGTAAACAGCAACTCGAAGAACGGTGACTGTTGATAGTCGAATCCATAGCTGAAATATCGCGGTTAGACAATGATTTTGAAATGAATTGTAAATCAAAGTATAAACCATATGAGTAACCAACGAAATATCCAGAGGAAGTATACGACGCTCGTCAGTGCGATCATCGGCCAAGTGATACCTAAAGTCATTGATGATCGGAGGAATCATAAACAGTACGATATTTCCGGAAGCCGCCGTCACGCAAATGATGGTCACTATTTTTGCTATCCTTGCAAAATATTCGAAATTTTGCCGTTCCTTTGCCACGTCGCTTATCTCCCAGAATACCTGAAGCCAATGGTGTACTCGACCACAGGCACGGCGATGCATTATCACGTAAGCCAATTTGAATAGCATCATCAAGTGCATTATCAATATAGCACCGTAATCTGTCGTTCAAAGCATGCACTCGTTACGATTTTTAGCACCGAAGACAGCTGGACTTGTAAATATATACCTGCTAAGACTGAAATGTCACCCCAAGTCAGGCCGATAGTGTAAGTTATGGGTATGATCACCAAAGACGAGCAAATGACTTGGATGCAAATGCGAAAACATGCAAAAAGCCTAGTGAAAATGTTCGAGTTCGATGGTAATGGCCAGATGCCGACAACACGCAGTAAATATATGTTTGGCCATAACATTTCTTCCAGACTTGAATGCATCTTTGATCATTCAAGTCAATTTAGAAAATGCCGGCGTAACAGACTTTAGTAGTTCGAGATCTGATACTAACTCTACAATTATGTATATCAAAATTATGTAGTCAACCGGGCAATCGTCAAGCCATGATCACCCGTCTGTCGAAACTATAGATCGGGGATTCGAATTTAGAAAAAGTTATCGATAAAAAATGTGAATGCCCTTCTTATTTGTTTATTAAATAGGTGAAAGACCATAATCTAACATTTTTCCGTTGCTTCGAGAGAATGGGTTCAATTGAAAATGGTCAAAATAACGAGACTCTATTAAATGTCGGAAAACCAGTGTGTCGAAATCCAATTGCGAGCGGAGTCACGCACGCTCCTCCCGAATGCCGTCTGCTTGGCGCGCGACGATGAACTGAGACCGTTCGATCGTCCACGCACAGCGGCTGCACGGCTACATGCAAAAACAACGAAGCCGAGCCGGCACTCCCTCATTTTTGCCTGGTTTTTTCTTTTTCTGGGATGATTGGTAGCTAGTGCGATGAGCGCTTCGTTAAATATTCAATATCGTTGCTCGGAATGCGTTCGTCTCTTCCTCCGCGCGTAGTTGCGATCGAGGCATCTCGGAGCGAGAAACCGGCCATTGAGACACGAGAAAGTCTCGAGACCCCTAGTTCCTTCGGGCCAGCGCCAAGTTTCGCATCGTGCGATCACGCAGAGGCGAGAAAAACAGAGAGCTGCGGGGCAGCGGTCATTTGCATAGTAAAACTGCTTTCGCTGTGTGACTGTTCTCTTACTTTTCCTCGCACCATGCAACTCCCTTCTTCTTCGCACCATCTAATTAACTTCGCCTCACTTCTATAAACACGCCTGTAAGCTATATCCGTTAGCTATCGAAAAACTTCAAACGCCGATCTTGTGGTAGCTTCTCGATTCGAATGTATTTTACTGCACGTTGAAATACTCATTGGCCAACTGCGAATCATTTCAACTCGGAAACTTCCGGCCTGCTCACAATGACTTTCAATTTTCATCCTTATCTTCAATAATTTAAAGCTAAAAAATTTTCAATTTCAATTTATTTAAAAATTTAAGGTATGTAAAACAATGCACAACTGAATGAATTTTAAATGCTACCTATTTTTGACAATTTGAAATATTTCAATGGGATTGAAATCACTAGATTTTTACGCACTTTCCTTCGTGTAACAGTTGTAAAAAATTTCAAGATAAATGCAATGATTACAAAAGTAAAAATTACTGTCGGCAAGAAAGACGCGGCTGACAGAACTTGAATTTATATCACTTACTTGGTAACCTGTGCAATTCATTTTGAAACGACGATCGAGCTATATTTTTATTTTGGCAAAGCGATTTTGATCTATCACAAAAATCTTAAATGTTATCCGTTCTCGGCTAGGAATCCCACCTTTGCTAAGAAAGTATTGATTGAATATGAGAACCCCGTGGGTGCAGAAATAGAAAAACGCAGGCGAGAGAAAGTGTTGAAAGATATCATTAGGGGAACACGAAGAGAAAGAAAGAAAGGCGTAATTGCAGGTAGTTTATTTTCAGAACGATCGTGTACTGCAACATATTCTAGCAATCTGCATAATACAACCGTTTCTGCCAGGCTTCTTACTCGCGAAAACTTCTTTCTTCGCACTATCTAATCAACTTTGCGTGACTTCTTAGAGGACGCGTGTACGGGTATAGTCATGGTGTGTACATTCTTTTGCAATTGAAATCTATCGGGTCGAAAAACCACCAATCTTGGCTTTTTTGAATTAAGATACATCTTACCGTTGAATTTGTATGATATGACTGATGATATGCAAGCTTAAAATTTTCCAGTTTAGTAATTTTAGTACTTGAAAGAATTGGCAGCTTTGTGGTTAAAACAATTGATCTTTGGATTGACCTGGAACTGAAAAAGTTATAAATGATGCCATCCCTATTATTAGATAAAAGGGGAATTATTCTTTACTTCCACAGGTTATACGAATTGAAAAACCAACAAACGACGATACCGATTTTTTGGATTTCACTGTCAAGAAGGATTAATTTTTTTACGTGGATTTCTTCTTCATATCGTATGATATATAAGTTTTTATCCAATCATTTTTTCACTTATATGTGCGTGTTTGCCGTAAAATAATCAATACAAAACCATACACCAATACACTATCATGTCTAATATATCGTTTATTGAAAAGTAACTAAAATAAAATGGTCTTTACTTTAGATTCCGTTTAATACTAATGTTTAATGTTTGTTTTAGAAATAAAAAAATTTTGTAGCAATAAAATAGAAGAAACAGTAATTGGCTTTCTTTTTCGCCGTCACTTCGACATTGCCGTCATCAAATATTTACGCTGAAGATAAAGATCTCGCTAAGGAATGTTCATTGGAGTTAATGAGTTAACCATCATGTTCGGTGATCCGAAAAAAGGCCAGAACAAATTAAAAGTCACGAGGCTTCGTAAATCAACAGAAGGCGATATTCATAATCGACGGCAATATTTGGTGAGCAAATAACAGACAAAGATTTTATTATACGAGGACTGATAATCATACATAAGCGTTCAGTCATTGCTTCTGGAATATAACCTTTGACTCGGGGTACGCATGATCATTCACTAAAATATATTTAAAATATTTTTGTTTTATTTATATATCACATGGTATCGTCAATACAAGTAATAATCATGACTGCAGATAAAGTCAATAATCACAGCAAAATATTCACGTCTTGGTCATTCATTGTCACAAAAAAAAATTAGTTTTCAGCTTTCTTCTTCTGTTTCATCTGAATGCTCTGTAAGCTTTGACCTTTAGTTTCGGGCAAGAAAAACCAATAATACAGAGTGGACGTATAAATCCCAGTCGAGTAAAATAAATATAGATAACTTGGTCCAACGAGATTCTGCAATGGAAGAAAAGTGACGGTAGACAGCGACGAGAACAAAGCAGCAGTGGCACTAAACATCAGACTTGCCAAGGACTTGAGATTCGGCGGGAATAGTTCGCTAACTAATATATTGGGTACACAACCCATACCAGCTGAATAGGATACCGTATAGATGAGAAAACAAATACACGGCAACCAATTGAGGGTCGCAGTAGAATCATTTTTGAGGAAGATGAAGTGAATACCGAGACTTGTAAGTGACAATGCCATTCCGAGACTCGACGTTATCATTAGGAAACGACGACCAAAACGGTCGACTAAAAATGTTGCCAACAGACCTGATATAATGGCAAAAAAACCGTTTATAGTTACTAAAGTACTCGGAGCTATTATTGTCACTTTGCTGGCCGTTATGATTATTTCCATGTAGTTGTTGATCACGTTGTAAGCGCCGAAATATATGAACACGTTCGTTAGAAACATCAGACCGAAATTCCTTAGGCTTTCTAGAAATAACATAAAAACGATAATAATTGTTAACTTGAATTTGTTCGTCCCATACTTGAAATTATAAATAAGAAATAACTCACGGCGTTGTCTGAACTCAGCGAATCTCTCTTTAAGCGACACGTCAGATTTACTGATGTAATCTTTAATCTCATTAAGTTCTTGCTTCACATCCTGTTTTCTACGAAACCACTTGAGTGATTCTTCAGCCTTTTCAAGATTCCCCATTGTCACATGTCGATGTGGCGAGTCGGGTATCAATGGAAACAATACGAGGAACATAATCGTAGCGAAGATACTAATGTAGGCAAACAGTTTCATGGAAATGTAAGGCCCCATGAGATTGCCCACGAATACACCAACTAGTTGCGAGGTTGCATTCCACAATACCTGCAATAGTAGTATGATTGTCGTATGTTAATCGGAGAGTATACTACACACGAAGCTCACGAAGGTCGAAGAAGACGGTTATCATTGATAGAAAACAACTAATGACGCGTGTTCTTCTTTGACCAAACGAGGGCTCGTTCGTAAAAGAGACATTGTTATGCTCGCCAATGATCCACGGATTTGGGGATCAGCAATTTCGGCTAGATAATGCGACATGGTTGTCCACACGATACCCATTGAAAAACCACAGAGTATCCGGGCTGCGTACAACCATTTGACGTTTGTTGCTACTGCTACACAAATCCAACCACTTAGCATTGGCAGGCCGGAGAAAAACAAACCCATTTTTCGACCGATGGTGTCTGGAAAGTTATTTGATTGTGACGTAAGGTTTACTTGAAGATGAATTGGATTTCAGCTTTACCCTGAGCAACACCACCGACGACAGATCCGAATATTCGACCCATGTTCATGAGAGAAGCAACCCACGACAGTTCATCGTCAGTTGCTTTGGGTATACCGTCGACAGTGTCGAACATTGACAGTTTTGCCAAGTAGGGTGACGACCAGCCATTGCACAGCCCGATGATCAGCAGCACGATACTCACTGTGTGAGCACATACCGAAACATTAAAATATATTTAAAACATTAAAATATTGAAATAGAGAAACAGAGAGATATAGATTAAGTGAAAATTTGAGACTTGTAGAAACGTGTAAAATTATAATTATCAAAGAGTTATTAATAATCTCCATTTCTTCGCTATTGAAGAAATAAAAAAACGGGTGCCATTGAACTTACCCGTGCTACTGGCAAGACGTTGTGACCAGAACACCTTGTTATCCGCTCGCATTTTCACGACACATTGACAACCAATCGTTCGCGCTTAGAGACTTTATCATTGTCACTACCGCGTCTTTGGAAATACGTATCATTCATTTTCTTATCGCGCTCAGATAATTTGACGTTCTTCAGTTTTTTTATTTTTTTTTAGTTGCATCATAAGGGATACCTTGGTGGTATTCTATTTACAGAAAAGTTTTTACGTGTTCACTATAAATTTGCCAAAAAAAAAAGAAAAATCAATTATCACAATGAAAAAATCAATTGAAAGCTCACTCCTGAGAATTACAAACATAAGAGAATTTCGTCGTCAGCTGATTGTCTGGCATCAACTAAAGTATCATTGGCAGAATTTACGAGTAAGCGTGAGAGAAGCGTGCCAGCCACTTGCGTCACACGGACTGCGGAATTTTCCAACTTGAAGCGAAGCTACGTATAAAATGATGAAATCTTACACGCTTGCAATGAACTTCGATCAGCTCGAATAAAGCCAAACATCAATTGTCCAGTTGTCTGGAGGAATATTTTTTTTTCTTCGCGTTCAAATTTTCGTTTTGCTTGTTGGCAATTACTTTGCACGAAACACTTTAAAAGGTAATGATAGTGTATAATTTTTGTATGAAATCTAGTAACTTTTTTTACTGTTCTTTTTTACTATTCTTTTCACATTGTTGTATTGCTGTGTTCCATTTGTACGCGAGACACCGCAATCAATGTTAGTATTTGAAAATAGAAATAACACATTTATTGAATTAGCTAAATACATTTTTTTTCATCATAAAAATTATCAAAAATACAGTATATTTACAGAATTTCAGTCTTGTTAATAAAATACTCTAATTTTTAACAGTTTTTCATACATAATGTTACATTAACTAAATTGGGTAGAAGTTTCTGTTTATATTCTCATAAAAACCGGCAACCGAATTTCATTGTATATCTGGCTAACAAAAAAATGATATTCGTTGTCATTACTCGTAAAAATGTCTCTTATTTTAGCAGTGCTCACAGCTTGTAATGATATTTTTTCAACTTTCGGCTTCCTTCTTCTGTCTAATCTGAATACTCTGCAAGCTCTGGCCTTTAGTCTCAGTCAAACAGAAGTAGTAATACGCAGAGGAAGCATAAATGCCAGCCGAATAAAACCAGTACAGATAACTCGGTCCAATGAGATTCTGCAATGGCAGAAAAGTGATGGTAGAGAGCGTCGAGAATAGAGCCGCAGTGCCACTAAACATCAAGCTGGCGACTGACTTGAGATTCGGTGAGAAGAGCTCGCCAACCAATGTACTCGGTATGCAGCCCATGCCGGCCGAATAAGACAGCGTATATCCGGTTAGACAAATGCACGGTAATAAGTTGAGCGACACGGGATCATAGTGACACTTGAGTAACATAAAGTGAATGCCAAGACTTGTGAGCGACATGGCCATTCCTAGACTCGAGACTATGAGTAAAAATCGACGACCGAAACTATCAACTAGAAAAGTCGCTACCAGACCTGATATTATGGCGAAGAAACCGTTTATGGAAACTAGCGTACTCGGAGCTATTATCGTCACTCGACTAGCACTCACGATTATCTCCATGTAATTGTTGATCACATTGAACGCGCAGAAGTACAGAAACACGTTCATCAGGAACATCAGACCGAAATTCTTCAGGCTTTCTGAAAATAGTTATACAAGCGGTATTTCAGCTTCGAATTTACTTTTGGCAAAACTCACGTTTTTGACGAAACTCATCCAATTTTTCCTTAAACGATGCATCAGACTTGCTGAGGTAATCTTTGATCTCATTAAGTTCCTGCTTGACATCTTGCTTCCTACGGAACCACTTGAGGGACTCCTCGGCTTTGTCGAGATTACCCATCTTCAGGTGTCGATGTGGCGAGTCAGGTATCAGTGGGAACAACACGAGGAACATTAACGTAGCGAATATACTGATGTAGGCGAATAGTTTCATCGACATGTACGGTCCCATAAGATTGCCCACGAATATACCGACAGATTGCACGGTTATGTTCCATAATACCTGTGTAAGTATTGAGATATATTTTTTTTTCATGTAAATTAGAGGCTCGATACGAAGCTCACGCAGGTCGAAGAAGATGTGCAAAGTCGCGCACGCGAGCGTGTAATTAAGACGTTATCAGCGATTCGGGAGCTCGAGCGAGCGCGAGCGCGACGATAAGACAAGCAAATAAAAGGACAGGTTTTTCTTTGACCAAACGGGGGCTCGTTCGTAAAAGAGACATTGTTATGCTCGCCAGTGAGCCACGGATCTGGGGGTCGGCTATTTCGGCCAGGTAATGCGACATGGTTGTCCACACGATACCCATTGAAAAGCCACAGAGTATTCGGGCTGCGTATAACCAGTGGACGCTCGTTGCCATTGCTATGCAGATCCAACCGCTTAGCATCGGGAAGCCGCAGAAGAATAAACCCATTTTGCGACCAATTGTATCTGAAATATCATTGAATTTTTCAGTGTTTGAACCACGCGACTAGGAATATTATGGACTGGGATAGTTCAATTGTTGAACGAATATGCGTTACGTAATTTCTATCGTTTCTTCGCGATGTATGGATTTCTCGAAAGATAAAAAATATACAGACCTTGAGCGACAGCACCAGCGACAGCACCGAAAATCCTACCAATGTTCATGAGGGACGCGACCCACAAGAGTTCGTCGTCGCTAGCTCTAGGTATACCATCGATATTGTCCATCATGGACAATTTAGCCAAGTAGGGCGACGACCACCCATTGCCCAAACCAACGGTGAACAACACGATGCTCACTGTGAATTGCAATACGATGATAGAAGAAGAAGAAAGGCGAAAAAAATAAAAACTCACGCGTGCCGCTGGCAAGATGCTGCGACCAGAGTACTTTCTTCTTGGCTTGCATCATTTCTGTGAGACGATTGACTACCAATCGCTAGCATCTATTCGCTATATCGTAGTTTCTTATCAAGCCTACTAGTCTTTTGATTGCTGAGTAATAATTTGTTTTTCTTGAGAGGTGGGGGGTGTGTCTTACGAACAATCGGTAAGATACGAATTCGTTTAATGAGTTTGATCTCTCGAGCCGAGTCTCAAGAATATCAATGACAGCTTGAGTAAACATTGCTCGTACGTCTTACAAGATGCGTATTTTTACCGTTGAGAAATCTGACAAAATGTACTGACGAAGTTTCGTTATCGAAAGGTATCGCGCTACTTATTGCCGGGGCGGAAATTTCTATTTGGACAAATTTATGCTTCTGAAAATTCTTCGTCTTTCAATTATTCTTTGCAAACGATAAATTGTAACATTTTAGTCCAAACACTCTTTGTTATAGTATTAATTAAGAAGCTCACGGGTTTTAAGAACACATTAAACAAAAGATATCTGCGAAAATAATCAAACGAACGTACGAGCGAGAAAGAGAGAGACAGTGAGAAAGGGAAGATACAGGTCATTAGCATATGATATTTATGAGTTAACTTGATGAGAGTAGCATGAGGATATTTTAGGCATTTTACAACTTTAAAAACAAAATTTGCAAGTATCAAATAACGAAATATTCTCTATTTCTTATTTCGCACATAATTATGAATTTTAATTAGCGCTCAGAGAAGGCAAAGAGGACAATCAAGTTTTTCCTGAACAAATATATATATACACGGTTGCAACACATAGACACGACTGTTTAGTTTGATTAAAGCGACGCCTTATCGTGGATTGAATGACATGGAAAATTTTTAAAACCAATTATTACGTTTTTCTTCTTCTCGCGCATCTGTGTTTGCACGTTTCTTACTACTCTGATGTATGCTACGTAAGAAACTTTAATCAATGCCGATGTTTCAAAGTTTAGCTGAGAATGAACTCGTCAACACTTTGAGTATTCATATCAACTGCGAGGATTATGTGAATTTATTTAATATAATAATTTAAAACCCTTTTCAGAAATAAAAACTTCAAACATTGGAAAATGAAATTTCTCAAGAAATGTATGTATTTTGGCTCAAACAATTTTACCGAAGTTTTTTTTGCACGATCCCAAAATCTCGAATCGTTGGAACTGGTATTAAACGGTTCTAGCGATCTCTGCATGGAAAGAATTGAGCGTTAAGTGTCAAGGGAGAGACTTAGGAGAATTTCCAGACCGCACAAATTATCACCAAAGCTATTTCGCAGTAAAGAACCTTCCCTAAAGTTTCAACGCCGAAATTAATAGCAATCTGCTGTAAGAATCTACAGCATGAATTTATGGCTAAGCTAACAGAATTATTGATAATTAAATAACCAACATACTTCCCGGATAGCAAAAAATTTTTGTATAAACAATTTATTTATATTATAAACATTTTATTGTTATTATTATTATTTTTAATTAATACGCTTGTTCGTGTCAATAGGATCATCAATAGGATGCATTTACAAATTTAAATAGCGGTTTTGTGCAACTGCTTGTATCCAACAACATCTCTTTCCGAACTTCAAAAGTATCCTTGACCGAGTGGCGCGCGTTGAGAGAATCAATAGTGACCGCCGAATACAAATTAAACCACGAACGATTAATCAAAAGCTCGCATTTAACGATCAATCATTCGTAACAACAAGCAATCAGTGTAACAATAGCCACCACAAGAAATCTCAATCAGTGGTCGGTAAGTGCAAAGTGCGTGCACAACAACGCGCAGCTTGTCGGGGGGTAAGTGAAAGTAGTCAAGTGTTGGTCAGACGTGCCACAAGAGATGGCACCTCGCGTGCGCGCGTGGAATAGACGTGATCGTCACCCCCGCCCCCTCACGGTCGCTGCGCAAGCGCAAAGCCGCGCCGTGGACGCGAAACACACAGCGATCAACGTTGAGAGTTTCGCCCCTGGCACACGCGCGACTCGACTCTCGTCGATGACGACAAGCGGGAAACTGTGCACGGCCGGGCGGACAGCCACCGGAGAAGGACGAAGAGCCGGTGCATCTCGCGAAAGATAAAGAAAATCTGACGCAAGTCTTGCTTTTTCACGTAGACGCGTCCGTGCGAGAAGAGATCCGGACGGCGAGCCGAAGGGGGAGAGAGAGGTTCGCTAGAGAGTTGCGAATAGGCGGCGCTGCGATCGAAATGGTTACAAGCGCGCAGTCCCCTGACATCGTCCCCCTGTAACAGCCTGTATTCGGAGCGAGAGCACGGAGAGCAAGAGAGAGAGAGGCTTCCGACCCCCCTGCCTGACGGCGACCACGGCGTCGGCGACTCCTCGATAGCTCTTGTGTGTGCGCGCTGCCGTGTCGCATCTTTGTTGTTTTTCTGCGAAACCGAGCGTCACGAGCTGCTCGCGCGCGCCCGTGCGACGTGATCTCGAGAGGAACAGCGATGAGCGGCAGGTCGTCGGTGAGCAAGGCGAGCGGCTGCGAGCGTCGCCGCTGCTACTGCCGCCGCCGCCGCTGCGCTAACCACGAAGCGTCGTAGTGCACACTGCACGGCGAGACAACAGCGACGACGAGGGCGTCCCACGCGAGCGGCGCATTTCGCAGGGGGCCACTGCTGGTACACAAGTGCGTGATCTAGGTGCGCGAGTGCGTCTTGCTTGCCCTGCTGCGAGAGACGAGGAGAGGGAGAGGACTGTTGTTGGAGGCGGTCGACGGCAGCGGACATTCGCATCCCCTTCTTTGTGCGCGTGTTCGGCTCGACGGGGAACAGCCCGGCGCGCGCGTGGACGAGTCGAAAAGCTGCCGAGCGCGCTCCCTCGCTGCCTCTTTGGGTGCACGCGCACCAAGGGAGTGCCGTCCACCATTTTGTGCAGTGCGCGACGACATCATGGCCATCGTCGCAGGGTGCCAGTGCCGTTGCCCCGGCACCGCCGCTACCGGATGATCCGCTAGCGCTTTGCCATGTTTGTTTGTTTCTTTCGTCCTTTCGGGGGTGCTAAGTGAGAGTGAGCATTGATTTCGGAGAAGTGTGTTATTTCAGCGACGAGAGGATCGTTCGCGCATCGTCAGGCTGTGTGCATGTGGAGTACGAGTAGCCAATCATTATCTGCGAGTGAGTTTACGTTTTGCCCTCTTTCCGCTGTTCACCAATGTCGTCCCTTTTTCCGCTTCCTCGGCTTGTCCGTCAGCTTCATGCACGTAGCTTGAGCGTGTAAATAGACAAACCTGACCTCATATACCGAGATAGAAAGAAGTCATCTCTCCGTGCGCATTCGGCCTCTTTAGACGAAAGAGAGAGAGAGAGAGAGAGAGAGAGAGAGAGAGAGAGAGAGAGAGAGAGAGAGAGAACAAGCGGAGGAGGAGCTTACAAACGTCATTTTTCCTACGAACTTAGACATATCGACGAAAGTGCCTTCGACATACTGTATTACGGGAAAGAAGACAGATATTGTTTTCTTTTTTCTTTTCTTTGTTTTCGTTCATAAGAAACTTCGATTGAAGACTAGGTTTAGATACTTTGGTAGTCATGCGTTTTGCATATTCATTGATCTATTAGTTTTTTTAGTAATACGCATTATTTATGGCTAGAACTGGTAATGATTGGGCCATGTTGATGATATTAAAAACGAATCGATATTCGCGAAATCTCTTTGATGATAACGCATTCATGTGAGAGTAACAACATTGATACGGAATATCATTTACGAGAGTTTTTTTTATAGTCGATTTTATGCTCGTTTTTTTGCAAATTTCGAAGATTACAACTTTTTTATTTAAATATTTTTTATCAGATTTCATTCGTAGTTGCTATCGAAGGACGGAAAAAATAATATTCAAAGACATTTTTAGCGATCACCTAAAGGGTTCGTCATAAAACTTCGAATCGAACGGTTATTTTAAATCGGGTTGACGTTGAAATACACGAAAAAAAAGAATCACATAATTAAAAAAAATGTATCCATAGGATACGAATACACAGAGTATTAGACTGTATGCGAAATGCATTCGTTTTTGCCGAGTGAATATCATTTGCCGTGCGGTTGAACAACTGGGTTAACATCTCTCTGCCTCGTCCCTCGATGCAAAAGCTTTCTATATATTCTGCGAAGCCAAAACGAAATGAATATTGATAGTAATATATGTATATGTGGCGTATAGATTAACCAAACGTACAAATTATTCAGCCGATTGACATTTCAAAACGAAGCAAAATAAAATTCGTTTTACCGAGCGTGAGAGATCTGATGTTCTACGTTGTTGTTACAATTGAATTTCATAAAAGTTAGGGGGGGGGGAGAATCGCAAGGATACGATCGAAATGCATACTGTGCAAGCTAGAGGCATTGATTCGCATTATAGGCATGCGAGCGAGTGGAATGCAAAATCGCGTACAAAGGGAGCTGAGACTCTTGGCGAAATTTCGTACGCGCCTTTCAATCCGCGAATCGCGATATCGATTGCAGAAGCATGGCGCAGCAGAGCAAAGGAAATTTTCCGGATCTTTATAAATTTGGATATTCTTTTGCACTTCAGAGTGGGCGGATGACAAGCCGGTTTGTACATACGTATATTCTCAAAGGTTTGATGCGATTTCTAGTGTAACGGTGTATTGTCGTTTTTGTCTTTATTTACAATTCAGAACTGGTTCAGACCAATGCACATTTCCGGAAATTAATAAATTGATTTTTCATCTTTGTCATTCGAAAATATCTTACAACTAAACATTATTTATAGCTGAGAAGTATTACAGATGACAGCGAATTGAATTCGCTGAATAAATACTCAATGGACACTTTGTCGATATAGTTTAGAATAACACCCTACATTCGTGACTCAGAAAACGCATTATAAAAGATCGACTTGCACGTAATCGCACTTATGAAATCATCTTCTTATGTTTTCGTCTCTGTCCGATGATAATTGATTGAAATAATCTTCTTGGACAGATGCTTTATTTTGTTTGTATTCGAACGATTGACTGCGTCCTAGTATCTGCAGATGAGCATGCAATGAGTTTAAATTTAACTACAAGTGACATAGAATTCAACGTAACGGTATTCTAATAATTCCATTTTTATGCTTAACATCTAGTACAGCACGAAATAAATATTTAACTATTTCATAATCGAGTAATGGATTCATTCCCAAGTAATGGATTATCAAAGTTAATTTGCAATTGTGATGGGAGCTGTTATATATATATATATATATATATATATATATATATATATCGCCACTAACTGATATTTGAGTTAAGAAATGTAACTATAGAAAATCTAGAGTATTAATTAAAAAAGAAATTCAACTCGTTATTAGTACTACTAATACTAATGGAATCACTTTACATATAAGTTGACTACTTCCGATATTAAAAAAGTATATCTATTCGTATATAGAAGCATTTGTTGCCAACTGAATAGAACATTATAAGAGAAATAAAACACATTTGTTCCTGCTCTAAGAAATCGATAAACGAAAATTGACTGACGTACAAAGAAAAGTCTCTAGTTTATACTTTCGCGTACTGCATTTAAAAGCTATAGAAATAAATCAAAGCTTCTATTGTTGTAAATAAAATGTAATCAAATGTATATAAAAAACTCATTCCGATTCATTTATAGTCAGTTCAATTAAGTTTCTTTCACTGAGATGTTATTTGTTACATTGTTCAAAATTTAAAAGTGTTTTTCGAGATTATTTGAACCCCTAAACTATAAGCTGCCACTAAGATTATTTGATCAATTATCAAGTTTTTACAAGGATTATTTGAACGAATGAAATAGATTATTCATTAATTTTCTAACGTCACACGAGGAATTAATGTGCTTTCGTTCCACATGATAACGATGTAGTTTTATAGTCTCACCGATGTTATTACATCGAATAAGCTACAGAATCGATTTATAAATATAAGAGTGATAATTTTTTCAAATCGCAATTTGATTCCAATCACATAGCGCAAAAAGTCGACCTATGGCTCAATATATTTTTTATGCTCCATATAGAAGTTAGAGGATTCTTAATATATAGTGTGCATCAAATCGATACAATACAGCAATCAAATAATCGATTCTGGCATTATAGCGTACTCGAATCCCTGCCCTTCCCCTCTCTCACCCCATCGAATTTTGCGGGATTCGTGCGGTGGTATAGTAACGTGAAAATTCACTGTTACTAGATGAAAATGAATATTCCAGCATCGAGAGAGAGAGAGAGAGAGAGAGAGAGAGAGAGAGAGAGAGAGAGGTAGCGAGGGAGAGAGAGAGAGATAGGAGCAGCAATGGGAAGTCCGCAATTTACTGTTGAAATTGAACCGCATGGTCGTGTCCCCTCTGCTCTTCCCGCGCATGTTAGGTCCAAGCCTCAATGCACGAAGGACAGTTGGCCCTGATTGATATCTAAAGACGCGACAAATTGCCGACTGATCAAATTGAGACACTTTCTCGTGGCTTTCAGGCATCTCGACTGTGTCATTATTACGCTGTGTTGAAATTTCCATCGTTACGGTTTAATGTTGAGCGTTATTTTATTGGAATATTATCTTTGAGGTTCCATAAAAATAATCGTAAAATGTTGTTTTATGAGGCAACGTTACAAAGCGATATTTCATTAGTGTATAATAATATTGAAATATAGAGCACGTGAAATTGAATTTTCAATCGAATTTTCAATAATCTTTTTTTCTTTTTCAAATAAATGACATGATTTTATACATTGCTAGATGAGGTCATATGGTCAAAACGAACTTTTTCATTTGATATTCCGTTCAACAAAACGTTATTGAGCGTATCGGTCGGTAAACGGGTCAAATTGATTCACTGGTAAATAACCGAATTTATGTTTCTCACTTGCTAATATCTCGTGCTTTTACCAACTTGTGGCAGTATTAAAAAACAATGTTTTGCTCTGAATGCGTGATTAAAATTGAAAGAAAAAATTTGATGTAATTCACGGATATTTCGAGGTGTTTTCGTAGTATGAGGTATATTGATTACGCGGCGAGTCCACTCTCGAAAATCAGCGGTTTAACACGTATGGTTGTCTCTAGTTGTGTGAGCGCGCGGAACGTGACGTTAATCACGTTTGAAATTCGACAAGCGCGAATCAAGAGACGTGTGCTACGGCCGCGAGGGTTAGAGGTTTTAGTTTTAGTCACGAAACTGGCAGTTATAGAACATTTAATTTCTATTAGAATCTAAGTAAACCGAAAAGAATTTTTCGAAGATCATTTGAATTTTGGTGAATTCTCTTAAACTAGAGTAGAGCACATTTTTGCTTTTCAAATGAGCTTTTTGAATTTTGTCAAGAAATGGAAAAGCTTGTTTTCAAGAATGATATGTTGAATCTATTGAAAAAGTCCTCTATTTAAATTCGAGTGCAAATTTGAACAATGTAAATGAGTTTCGAAAAATTTTCTTTTACTCTCAGATTCCAGAATGGCAAGTAAATTTTAACGTACAAACAACGACTAAGAACATGCCCTACAATCAAGATTCTGGAATTTATAACAAAAAACATCAACAGTTATTGCTAGTACTCGAATACAAAACAAGTTTACTTATTAGCACAACTTTTACAAAACGGTACAATTTGTGAACAGTAAAATAATTCTTACTGGTCTTCTTACTTTTTTAAATTGTCATATTTGCCTTTCATAAAGAATTTCTCACATCTCTTCAATTAATTAATAACTAACTATTTCCAGTACCACTAACGTGATCATCCAAAAATCGTTTGCTCTAGTTTTTTTTTGTTCGGCGATAAAAATGCGAAACTCAGTCGTAAATATAGCTAACTTTCAAAGTTATATTGCCATTGCCCACGACTAACGAGCGAATGAAGAGGGCAAGAAAAAAGTCAATAGGGATACAGATATGACGCTTCTATAGGAGACAGATGGTGACTAAACTTCTTCGGCTTATCCACTTTTGTCATCGTAAAGTAAAAAAATGTTGATCCATTATATACGCTGGTTTAAGAATATTTTCCATTTTATAAAATTTCAAAATAACATACCATTTTTACGTATCTTCAATATCTAGAATCATGCAAATAAAATGTCTGCAGTGTGTATAGATATAATGTGGATTTTGTTATTATCGTGTTTATTTTCTCATCGCTACTCTAATTCATCATCCGATATAAACTAGAGGTATTTATATTCCCAGAACGTATAATAACATTACACGAGCAGTATAATTTCGTACTGAAATATAGGCAAATTTAGTCTAGGAGCCAACGGAGGGTTTCATGGCCCATGGGGGTAACTTTTGGGAGTTCCATCCACGTGCATTTTATGTATTTTGAGCTTCTCTGAACGCGAACTCGGAGGGTGGCTTATCCGTAAATGTTCGGATAATTATTTAAAAATAAATTAAATTTATTAATCGTCCGAGTGAAATTCGAAAACTTGAGATTGAAACGATAACATGGCATAAATCGACTCGGTATTGAATTACACATCTTTTTCGAAGTAGCAAGCTGCCTTAAGAGAAAGAGAAGCTTCGTTTGTTATCCATACTCGTACTAAGCAAGGCTTCTTATCGCGCCCCTATCCAAAGGACTTGTAGGTTTTCCCCATTGCAGATCCTAATTGGTATATATGACCAATCAGTATATTCTTATCCTGTAGTCGAGGCGTTGGCTCGTTTGCAAAAAGATGAGAAGAGAAGAATAAGTAGGGTATTTAATTTCATCAGAGGCCGATTGTGCATTGCTTCGACGTGTTCAGAGACGAATAAGACCGCTTGCATGCGTGTTCGTGTATTAACTCGGTAGCCTCGTTCACCTCTCGTCACTTGCCAATAGAGTTATTCGATTACCCGACTTTTAAAATGTTATTTTCATAGCACTCGTAGGTCAACTAGAGAATCCGGCGGTTTACAATGCACTCCGGCTTAATAACGTTTGCCCAAGCATTAAGTTAAAAGCATGAGCAACGATCGCGAGAAAGAAGCAAGGTGCAATTGTAGCCGTGGAAAAGTAATGTAGAAGACAACGAGGCGCCTGAAAAATTCAAAGCCCCGTATGTATGCCGTGCAATACGCTCGCGTGTGATGCACGTGCGTGACCGAGCGCATGTTTGAGTTTGCACTGCCTCAATCTATTTTACCTTCGCCGTATGAGCAATCGTCTTGACGATAACGAAGCTGCGGTCAATTTCGTGCGTTATTGAAAAAAAAAAAAAAAATAACGCGAGAGAGAAGGAGCTCGCGTCATGCAAAATTCCTTCTTTCCTTTTTCCTTCCCAGCAGGTATTAACGCGGTATCTTGCGTTGCGTGAGTTTTTGGGATGCTGAGCGGATTTTTTTTATATATCTCGATTGCATGTCCGGGTAATAAGACACGCGCTTCAATCTGGTATATAATCTGGCAATTCAAGTATTCCAATTTAAATATCCATTTCCTAGGCGACATTGTTTCTAGAATTGCTTATACCCTCGCGTTTTGACAATGACTTTTTCAATCTTGCATTACACCGAAATATACGCGATCCATAAGTGGATTTTCCTTTTATCTCTATTACTTCGACAAAAGAAACAAGCTGCTTTAATTTAATCATCCTCCAGTCGTAATAACCTTGAGTTTCGGCCAAAAGTTGTACTGTATATACATGCGTTATCCGTTCTTATTTCGGTTAAACAAGTCGTGCATTCGAAATAAAAGAAAATCAAGCGCAGAATTCAAATAAGGTCACGATAATTTGTCTACGGGGGTGACATAACCTTGAAGTTTGACCAAACGAATAATTTTTGTCAGAAATGTACGTTTCAATTGTCCCTTTCTCTCCCCCTCTCTCTTCTCTAATTTTGTTGAGTTTTAGTACAAGCTCGTATAGAAAACTGCCGTGTTTACGCATATCACGCAACACGACAGTTGTTACGACGCGGAAGATATTTATTACAGCGCCGCCGAGGTATTTGATGGAGATAAATTTTATATCTAGCTTGAGAGGTATTATACAGCTCGATTTTTTGCATAAATCTACGTTTAATATTATGACGGGTATAGAGCATCGTTAATAATCGTAATATGACTGAGAAACGAGTTTAATTATTTTACTTGTTAGCAAATGCGTGATTGCAACGAATTATTTTGCGTGTTTTAAAATTTGTATAATCACTGTTAATCTTTTACTTCGCTCGATGTATTTCGCAAATAATAGTTGAAACATAAAAAGCATCTGATGGCATTTTTAAAAAAACATTCGCAAAATATTGAAAATCAAATGAAAGCTACGCGAATAAGCTTCTGGTATAGGCATCAAACGGTATCACAGCATTTAATCACTTAAATCCGTGTACGTGCTTTTGCGCCATTTTTATTTCACAAAATGAAGAGAAAATTAGTTATTCGCGTTCGTTGTACCACGTTGAAAAAGTGTGATTGCAACGCCTCGCTCAGTTTACCCTATCATCCCATTCACTCATTCGAAAAATAAGGAAAATGAAAAATAAAATAAAAAAATAACAGGCACGAATTTGCAGGCTGAGGAATGCAGAGGCAGTCGAGGTGTCGTTCGCAAGATGCGAAGGGAAGTAGTACTAGCTGCTTAGATCCCGGAGGCAGTAGTGGCAGCGAGCTCGAGGCCACGTTGAGGCTGACCGACGAGGAGGTGAAGGGCCAAATAAGGCCCGACGCCCGGTGAGCCACAGCAGCACACCGAAAGGCACAGCGCACGGCGGCTTTCAACTCTGCCGGCGCCGACGAACAGCAGAACAGGTAGATTACGCTCTCTTTCGCGAACATCGCCGATGGCGAGCTTGCGATTTCCGCGCTAACGATCGCTGGATGTGTCAAGCCAAGTTTTCAGCGAGAAAGAACTTTTTTGAGCGTGACTTTCGGAAAGTTTCTAAGTTTCTCGTTAAAATGTTACATTTATTCACAACATCTTTATTTTACTTAGACTTTTAAAACTCTGATTAAATTTCTGTATGAACTTTCCGGGTTGTTTTCAACTCATTTTATAAGTACATAAAGCTGCTTTTGTTTTCAGCTACCAAAATTGTTGTTCGAAAATTCACCTTCCTCGGCAAAGGAAGTCCTTGCGCAATCTTTGTCGAAATTCATTTTTGTGTAAGATAAATTAAAAAAATGTGTTAATCCTGCAGAAAGGGCCCGAAGTGACGAGTAAAAAAATGATAAATACGAACGGAAGCACACCTTCAGCTTCCTTTTTTCCACGGAAGTCGATCCGTACTGGTCAGGTAAAAAGTTCGTCTGCATCAATCCGAGACAGCACAAAAACGACGAATACAGTAACTTCTCGAAAGTTTGCAACGGAATCGCGCCCTGCGCGACTGCGCATCTCTTGTTTTTCGTCAAGTCAGTCAATCGAGCATACACTGATAAGGAAAATTACAAACGCTTGGGAGCGTATCGGCCGCCATCTATAAATTTCAACACGTACACACACATGCGCCAAAGACCGGCTAAAGCTTGAGCTACGGCCTAGTTCGAAGGCGACCCAATTCGATCGAGCGTTCCTTCTGTTTTACAAGTTCCTCTTTCATATTCAAGCGCTCGGAGAGAGAAAGAGAGCGAGCTAGAGCTTTGTCGCGCTTGGATAACGGACTTTTGATCTCGTTTTAAAATCCTTATTTCTTCCTCGAGCAGCCAACTTTCTCGACGCTCTAATACCACCCCCCCCCCCCCCAAATTAAATCAAAGTTAATTTTCCAGCACGACTTTTCTCTCACTCTCTTGCAGTTATTCGCATTGTTATCGCGCGTTACACCTTCTTCCTCTTCCCCTTCTTGTTTAGTATTCCACAGCCGTTCTTTTGTTCTTTGTTTGTATCAACTTCCATCCTCTCTGTTTCTGTGCGTCGCTTCGAGACGTCGAAAATGATCGTCGGAAAATTAGAAAGACGGCCGTCCTCGCGCATTCGCCGATGAATAGATCGGCGCCCCTCGCGCGTAACAGATGCCCGCGTGTAGTGTGAAAAATGAGCTTCCGCCTTCGAAATTACTCGGGCGGCCGAGCGCAAGAGGAACTCGTAGCTGAAAAAGGGAAAGAAGCACCGATGAATAAGCATCTCGAAATCGCCCCGGGGTCTCGTGCGCCTGATATATGTCTATATCCCCTGCGACGAAAGTCATTTTCAGCGAGTTTTCGCGTGCAGTGCGGAATAATTGAAAAGGAGATACGAGCTGACGTTTATGCGTAATACTTAGTATTCATCGTATATCTTGCGTAGCTGCAGCTCTCTATAAACGTTCTATCGCAAGTAGATTGATACCGTAGTCTCGAGCTAAGCTGCACTATTGATTAGCGTGTGCGTATGTCGGTGTGTGCGCTTCTCTTGTCTTGGTAGCAAAGTTTCCAGAGTGTGTAACCTCCACCTTCGCGCGAAATATCATACTCTCTTGACTTGCCGTAAAATATCACTTTGTCAAACATTGACTTTCGTTAATTATTATTTGCCAACGCGGATAATGATCAGCCTGTCGAATTTCAGAATGTCACGGAGGATTGAAAAGCATCCTTTTATCGGCTATTACGGTATTCTGAATTTGATAGCTTTATCTGTCTTGATGTTTAATTAAGTTAGTTGTTTCGTCCGAAGGGAACAACCGTCAGTCGCCAGATCGAGTTACTCTTCTATTGTTTGGTGTCCGTCATTACGTGTTTTGCTGCGACCAGTCGCGTCTAATAAAAAAAAATCGAATCTGTCAAGACATCATTTATTCGTCAAGAATGCGAAGATTGGACGACGAGGGTGGACAAGTTGAAAAAAAAAAATGAGGGAGCGGTAATAATGTGTACAACATGAATTTCGCTGGTAGCCTTATTTGATAAAAAGCGCATACGTGGCAAATCGCGGATGAACGCAGTTAACAATGTATAACGCTAATTGAACGAATAATCAGAGTTTCGCTAATCGGCAATTTATTGGAAGAGCAAACAGTCTGTCGTTTTCGGCAGATCGAACCGCGCGGTGAATTCTTCGTGAGCGATAAATCAGTATAGCGTCATTTCCGAGTTGTCAATACAAATAGTCGTAGTTTTGCTATGTACGCGACTATATTCCCCCAGCGTTCCTCTTCGTTATTTATTGAATGAAAGTCGCCGCGCCGTTGGCAGGTTCGCAGCGACTTTTCGAAAAATATTAGGATATTTGTCGACTTATCGACGCGAGCGACGAAAATTGTTATTTATTGCTCGCGATGAAAAAGTTTCTATTTAAAACATATATTTTCATCGTATTCCTAAGTTTTAATTACGTTGTAGCTATAATATCGCGTCGCTACATACATACGCACGAAATCCTTTCATGTTTAATTTCGTTACGTACGACTTCGCGAAATTGAGAGTAAAATCAATAAACGCATTATTAATGCATTGAGATGGAAAAGAATTGGTTGTAAATCTCGATTGGCAAAGGGGCTTAATCCGATGAATTTTCATTAACTCAATGGATTACTCAATTGATTCGTTACAACAGCGATGCATTGTGCGTTCTATCTATCGGATGAATTTCAGGATGCGCAAGCAAAAATAATCAAACTGATTCCCCGTAAGTTATCTAAAGTCCAGGTAAGCCCATTTAAAATAGTCAGCCCCAAATCATTTGCACAGTTCTTCGTTTGCAGTGTAAAGTAACAACTTCTCTCTCGTTGGGTTGTATATTTCTCCGAAAACTATCGTCGTTATAGGGCCGATGCTTATCCACTCAGCGTCTTTACTCAGTGGCTTGTTTAGACGTCCTACTGCCTGCCCTCCTCCAGCGTGTTTGATAACAATTAATCGCGGCGGAAGCTCTCCGCAATTATCTCGATAAGACCAGCCCGATAACAATAGCCTACGAGCTCTTCTTGTGCCCCTTAAAATGCAGAGCTGTTATCATATATACGTGCTTGTTAGTGATGTGGCTTGTTTATTCGAGCGAACAGTTTTTCACATAAAAAGTCGCATTCCGGTCGCGGTATTCACTTCCAAGTCGATCTTCCAATCGTGAGAAATCCCTTTTTGATCAGTCCTCTACGGGTAGGACACGCGCAGTGCGGAAAATCCTATATACGGCTGCTTGGCAACTGCAGAAATCGCGCTCCCGGATCGATTTTCAAAGCTCGATAATGCAAGTAAAATGCGATGCCCATTTCCGGTCGAAGCTCCCGCGCGGCGGGTCTGCCGTGGAAGAAAGCGCTGCTCGGTCGTGTGTACAGAGGCGTTCGCTTAATTAGAAACGCACTCGTAAAACACACACAAGAGCTCAAATTGACTATCGATCGCAAGCCAGCGAACGCCACCGCGCGCACTCAACCTAATAACTTTGCCCTCTCTCTCTCTCTCTCTCTCTCTCTCTCTCTCTCTCTCTCTCTCTCTCTCTCTCGCACGCCCAAGACTTTGGTACAATAAAGCGCGTGAGAGAAACTGAAACTCGTCTTTCTCTCCTTTCCGCGCCTTCCCAGAGAGCAGCTTCTTCGGATTTCGTTCGCTCGGCAAGTTACGCACGTTGTGGTTTACAGGCGCAAGCTTCCCCAAAGTGCCAACTATCTGTCTGGCGTCCACGCGTCCACGCCTCCACGCGGCTAATAGTATGCCTCGGCGTAACGCAAGCAAAGTAAATAAATAAAGTCTCTTTCGCGTCTCCGAGCGGATTAGAGGCTTTGAATTCATTTGCCTAATGGAGACAAGAGCCCGAGGAATATACACACGTCCATGCAAGTAGAGAAGAGCAAGCAGCTCCAGTCTCTCTCTCTCTCTCTCGGCGCAGTGCGCGCGGCTGGCGCAAGCGATCGATACCAGCGACTCGTGCGCGCGCTTTACTCCCTCTGCCTAGATGGCGCTTCCTTTAGCTCATCAAACACTCCTCTGTGCGTTTGTTGTATTGCCGAATGGTGTAGTTACCGAAGGGATCATTATACGCTTCTCGAGAATGCTCGGAGGAGGAAAGATGGGCTCTGAGTCGACTCGTCCGTTCTCAGAGGTCTACATCGATTGTTCACTTTTTCACGCATCAAGTCTTTAAACCCAGACATCTACTCGAAGGACAGCAGTCCGTTGTTGACTCAGCTTTTCATCAAATTATAACTCGTCCGATTCTCTACCGGGAAGTTGAATTATACACGCGATAAGATAGCCCTGGAGTATTTGAAAGCTTGCCATTCAATCTCCTCGGGGCCAACGTGATTTTCAGGGATGATTGAACATCCAAAAAACGATTGCGTCTCGCGTTGAAAAGATACTTTTGTTTTGTAATCGAGACAGCCGGCCGAAGAAGCGACAACTGGCTCGGATTTTTTTTTTTCATCATTATCCTGGATTATTGTGCAGCTACGTCGACGAGGGTGTGAAACGATATTGGACTGTTGCGCGCTCGACTGGACGCCGCTGCAGGCAGTGCTAAATGACGTGGAACGTTATGACATTTTCTTTTGATGCTTATCACGAAATGTATCTTTTACTCTTCTCTCTCTCTCTCTCTCTCTCTCTCTCTCTCCAAGTGAAATGCAACGCTGCGAACCAAGCTGATATCGATTCATCTATTTTGCGAGCAAGTTAGTTTTATTGAAGCGGATAGAATTATAATAGTTAATGCAGAGGCATTTATGTAAGAGATGGGTTATTTAAAAATCGCAATTGCACAAAAAAACTACGAGAACTGGCGTTTCTACATTTTTAATGGCACCTTTTATTAAAAAATCGGTGGAGTCATCGAATCTCAAAGTCTGCATTTTTTAAATTCAATTAGGAATCAAAGTAGAGAATCGAATAAA